ACTCCATTCCAAGTAAATCCAGATGATAAATAACTTTTATTATATTTTCTGTGAGCAATTATTCTTTTCTTTTCAACATTCTTAGTGCTACTAGATTCTCCTCGATCCATCACCTGTGAATAATCACTTTTCAGGTTAGTCAATCTTAGCCATTTTCCCATTTTGAAAATCAAGGTTTGTTTTGTTATTTTTCACAAATATTTAAATGCACAATATATGAGTTCTTCAAAAACAAACGACGATATTCTCAAATAGTGTAGAAGAGGAAGGAATACAAAGCACAATAAGTCAAAATACCTGCTGTTAAGAGACAGCAAATCGACTTGAACAAAATGATTTCAATTGAAAATAGAGCAATATGAGCCCGGACATGATGGCGATATAAACTGTAAACATGCTAATAACATCGATCAACTCTAAAAGTATTAATGAGATACTATTATCTTTTTATAGCAACTTATTTTTATTTCCAGTTAAATAAAACATCTCTTTCTATTATCGTTTTAAAAACATCATTTATGACAATTTTTTTTATGTCTGTGCCTAAAAGAATATTCGTGAAAATAAAAACAGTTTATTTTGCTAAAGTCTATGAGCGGCTAATGACCTTGAACAAAGCTCAGATCATATAAATTTATGAGTGTTACAAAAAAAAAAAAAAAAAAAAAAAAAAAAAAAAAACTTAAAGCAGGATGTTTGGGTATTTAATTTTTAAAATTTAATACTTAAAAATAATTTGTTTCTTTGCGTACCACCTAGTTTTGTCCTGCGTATCACCGGATGAGAACAGCTGCCTTATAACATTTATGCTGTATAATATATATATTATATATATATATATATATATATATATGTAAAGTAAGAAATTTAGAACTAATGTTTCACAAAGACGAAAATTTTGAAATTCATAATTAAAAAATGTATGCACACACACACATAGATATATGTGCATACATTTTAAATCATTTTAAAGTAATAACCGAGATCTTGGCGTTGGATACTAGTGCGTTGTATGAAAACACTCTTACTGTTTTTGACTTTAAATGCAACTTGTAGACAAAAACCTATGTACAAAGAACGCACACTGATGACGATATATGTGGCAGGATAATCTGAAGACTGAAGGTTGGCCGAAGTTAACATAAGCTTAGCATTCCTGCAAGCTGCAAGGTTTTCTGTAGGCGTTGCAGAATGTTCGGAACTCTTCAAGGTGTTCAAAGGCAATGAAGTGAAACTCGCCCACATAATACAGAAGAAAGACATGGCAAGTATTGGATCTTAAGTGCCAAATGATACCCTTATAAAGTCCTCCACGAAGGCATATAGCCATTATATATTAAAGCATATAATATATACACCATATATTAAGGCAGATAGCCCTCGATTGCTTTGCCGTAATCTAATAAACCAAACCAAAACCTAACAAACATCGATTGGTCGGTGATCGTTAAATCGACCAGTCGGACCAATTGATCGTTAGGCCAATCATGATTGGTCTAACGGTTACCAAAAACGTTTATAATCTCTCATCATTGTCAAACGCAATGTTTAGGGAGAAGTACGATTGATTGTGTTATTTCAGGATCTGGTATACATCTACATGTGTTTCACAGATGTGCTGTTAAGTGCTCTTTAGGTAGGTAGGGAGGTTATCCTGCATTATTATGCGCATTATTTTCAAGGCGCAGATGATCCACAAAACTCTCTTAATGGATAATACTAGTACCATTAGGACTGGCATAATCTTGGGATATCTGGGAAGAAAGTATATTACGCATTAGGACTGATGATCTCTTTCGCTGGGTTTAAATTCAATAGAATATTCAGAACGGAGAACACTGTTGGTCATCAGACTGCTGCACATAGCCCCACTCCACGAACATAATCAAGAGACCCGAAGAATGGTTGCCCATAAATGGGATTACCTACCTCTAGAATGGGTGGCTACATTTATAAACGTTACGTCGAACTGTTGAACAGCATGTTTGTCTGTGCGAGGTAATCATACACTGAATTAAGGTTATCAGGTTCTGTGTTCCTCCTTACTTGCTTAGGGAACATTAACTGTCCTGACTCGGAACAGGGAGCTTACTAAAGCTATGTTCAATAAATTTGGGAAGTAGACAATACACACAGGAAGGGTATACGAAACCCTTTATTTTTCTCTCTTTACAATGATTTCCGGACTTCGGATTACAGAGACCAACCACTTGTGGTCTGAACGTAAGAATATAAAAATATTAACTAAACTCTAACTAAACTAACTTTGGATTAATCAAACAAGTGCCTAACTCCAAGATTGGTCGTAAATTAACAAGAAGCCGTATGTAGTACAGAGAACTGCTAACACTACGATACGTTTAAAATTATCAAGAGGATTAAACCTCTGGCCTTGAAGGCAACCAGCAACCGAGTAAAACTACTATATGGCAAGCGGCCTGCTTCTAACTCTCCTTCCTCTCTCTTGCTTGGCAAAAAGCCACAACTTAAGTACTTGGCGTTCGCAAGACAAATTTGCATGAATAAGTTAAAGCTTTTAATTCTGGCCGGAAGTAGAAAATAAGAAGTGATAGTAAAGATTTAAAACAAAATAAACGTTAGTAAAACTTAGGATCCTTACAAGGTTTTTGAATACTGTAGAGATCTTTGTTGAAGACACGTAAGACTATACTAAGATGGTGTTAGGTATCTGGCTGTACACTCCATGATCGCTAATTGTTGCGTTTAGCAATAGGAGGTTCAAAGTTTTTTCTCTTTTATTCATTCTTGAAGTGTTACAGTTATCTTTTCGTAATCAGATGAGGGCCGTCTTAACTTATGGATATAAGTGTAGAAAAAAGAAGTCAAGTGTTAACTTTCAGATCAAAATGGGACTTTGGATCGATATATGAAGTGTTATCTGTAAAGTCATGTGACTTAAAGTTTAATTAAGTGTTCGACATCTATAAACATGTTTAAATATTTTCACTCATTAAATATAATAAATGGAAGAATGTACACACATATTCTCAGATACATAATAAAAATAGACTTTATTCAGTTCTGTGCATTGCAAAGTATAGCATAGAAATTTACATCTGATTTGGCAACACTTGAGATTGGAACTATTATAAAAAACATGCATTCTATAAATAACTCCACTTCTCTCAATAAGACTATTTCCACTTTCAAGGCTTCGAAATTTAATGTTTGCATTAGAATTAATTTTTAAAAGGTCTTTTATAATGGAACACATATCTAAATTTTACGGTGTGTAGAAATCAAAAGGGTATATTAGCTATCAAAGCCAAACCCCCAGTTTTCAGAAACAGCAAGAGAAAGATTTAAACTCACAAAATAACGTAATGTGCCACTTATTCTGTTACGTTTATTTAATGTTACTCCTTTACATAACTTTTTTAAGTATATAAATAAAAATTTCTTAGACTTCCGAGGTTGAACTGAGGATACCGTATATAGTATGAAGGCCTAATACCGATTCCTATTAACCGATTTCTTACTTAATGAAACTTTGTTACGAAGTGTTGTTGCAATATTAATATTTCACATTTAACATCTCTGTTTCCATCAAAGTGTTCAAATGTTTCATCAAAGTGTTGTAATAGGTTCCTAAATCTTTATTCTTTAACAAACACAATATTAATATTTCACATTTAACATCTCTGTTTCCATCAAAGTGTTCAAATGTTTCATCAAAGTGTTGTAATAGGTTCCTAAATCTTTATTCTTTAACAAACAAAGAGTTAAATCCTAAACTTCAAAAGTAAAAATTATTAGATAATTGCTTAAAAAAGGCTTTGATATTCAAGTTTAGTAAGAATTGCTCTTACATTATATTTACTCGCAAAATTTTTATTTTAAATAACGGCGTCTGAAGTTTCTTTCTACTACTGCCCGTTTGAAACAAGTATTTAACTTGTTTGCCCTTATAAGCGAAAGTAGAACAAAAGTTTTGCTGAAATATATTTTAACTCAATAAAAGACAAGGTGAATTCTTTTAAACCTCTTTTACAGTTTTTACTTGTTTCTCAATGTTCCAGAGGTTTGGAATTAATTTTCCTTCATCTATATTGGCCATGCTGAAATGGAAATTCGATTTCAGGAAATTTCCTGGGGAAACCTATACACTGAGAAAAACTGAATATAAATTTTGCAAACAATTTAACTTTCATCGAAATGCTATAGCAGCTCAGGTTACGAAAAATCAGTTATGCCTCTGAGAAGAAATGTAATATAAAAACTTGAGCAAATCTTTTATAAAAATAGCTTATATCAGAAATAAAGATAACATGGCAGTTCTGCAATATTAAGCAAAATGAGCCATGTGCATTTTTAACTTTACATAAATTTTGATACAAAGGAAGAAAATTTAGGTACAGCTGTTTACTCGTGTGAAAGCATAACTTCCTGAAATTATTGGAAAATAATTAATTTCTAATGTACTCTGTAAAGGATTACTGAATGTTTTCTGTTGCTTAAGCTCATTGAGCATTGTCATAATTTCAAGGTATTATTCGTCAGTGAAGTCCTGCTCAGTTTAGTATGTACAGTAAAAAGTCCGTAATCCGGACGTCCCCGGAATGATCTATAATCCGGACCTCAAAGCCACAAACTTTTTTCTTGTATGCTTTACGCATGCACGTTTAGCACAAAAAACGAAGCAACTTAAACAACTTGAATTGAAAGAAAGGTTTAATAAAGTAAAGAAATAAATATTAAACTTTTTTTTTTTTTTTTTTTTTGTAAATTTTGATACCCTTTAGATCATCATAATTTCTCTTCATGCACGTAATACGTTTACGTATGCACGTTTAATGTTACGCATGCGCGTTTAATGTTACGCATGCGCGTTTAATGTTTACGCATGCGCGTTTAGCACAAAAAAACGAAGCAAACAGCTTACATTGAAAGAAATGTTTAATAAAGTAAACAAATAATTATTAAGTTTTTTTTGTAAATTTTGATACCCTTTATACCATAATTGCTCTTTATTTCATAAATTATGGTTTCATATTTTTAATTATATAATTTCTGATGCCATCTTACCAGATTTAAATTGATGATCTATAATCCGGAATCGCCGAAGTCCCGACGAGTCCGGATTACGGACTTTGTACTGTATACAGTTTCACCTCAGCTGAGCATGTATAGTTTCTGCTCAGCTTAGAGTTATATACACGTAATTTATTTGTTAATAATAGAATCAATCCAAGGCCGATACGAAGACATTCTCATATACACTCCAGGGAGATTAGGATCAGCACAACCAATACCGTGAGACACTGTTCCCACAAGTACCCAGCGTTTATCTTCTCGTTGAACCATCAATGGTCCTCCGGAATCCCCCTGAAAAAACGACGGATGATTAACATATAGAGGGTATCAGTAAAATTAGTTTCATTCTAAAGATAGAGAGAATTTCTACAAATAATTATTACAATAGAAAACTATATGAGCATAATATAATTAAGAGACTCTAAAAACTTTTTAATGTAAAATTCTAAGTTTAAAAATACGTAAAGGTATTCCAATATAATAATATGATTTTATAAGTAAATGAACAATAATGTTTAAAATGCTATCACTGTCACTAACATTTAGTGCGAGTGATAACAATTTTGTGTTTATTATGCTCTGACAATTCATCGTGGCTAAAACTGTGTAACCATAATGTTTAATAACCAAAGTTTTTATGAAAATAAAAGTTCTTTTGTGAACACTTAATATGCCCTTCTCGGAAATTATGATCCACATAATCGCAAAAGGTCACTGTGTACAGTCATTAGTTTTTTTTTTTTTTTTTTTTTTTTCTGCCAGAGACGTGAAAAATGTGCACTGTCCTCGCCAGAATTCAAACTCCGAACTATATGTGGAGTGCGCTTACAGTTACACCACAAAGCAGGTGGAGAGGAGATAGAAAATGTCTTATAATTGTATGCTGAGGTTTATGGCAGTAGCATCTGTGCTTCCACCTGAAACGATGCGGAGACGCAGTTGCAGTGACCGATGAAGGATACTGGTTGACATTAACATTTTCATTTTGTTCCTAAATTTAGAATAAATTGATTTATAGGACATATAGTTCCAATAAGAGGTTGCCATTTATAACACTGATAACTCTAGTATCGACGTATTGCAAAAAAAGAGTTTGTTGAAATGGTAATTTAACAAAATGCAACTGTTAGTTGGTCTCCCAAGAGTAGTGATTTAACTCCTTTAGGTTAAGTTAACATTTTCTTTTTGTGGCTAAATTTATAATTAATTGTTTTGGAGGACATATAGTTCCAATAAGAGGTTGCCATATATCACACTGATAATTCTAGTATCGACGTATTGCAAAAAAAGAGCTTGTTAAAATGGTAATTTCACGAAATGCAACTGTTAGTTGGTCTCCCAAGAGTAGTGATTTAACTACTTTAGGTTAAGTTAACATTTTCTTTTTGTGGCTAAATTTAGAATAAATTGATTTGGAGGACATATAGTTCCAATAAGAGGTTGCCATATATCCCACTGATAACTCTAGTATCGACGTATTGCAAAAAAAAAAAAAAAAGAGTTAGTTGGTCTCCCAGGAGTAGCGATTTAACTCCTTTAGGTTACGTTTCATGCAGTTATTTGAAATTAACGATCCACGCGAACAATGAACGAACTCTTGAAGTATTAAGTATAAACATCAGACGCTAAAACTGAGTTCATTGAATTTGCTCACTAAATCGAAATGGTCACTTAAATGATGTTTTATTCAAAACATAATGTCATAAGTTACTTCAAAATAATATAAAAAGTTTGATTGTATTTGAAATAGTTTTTATTTTTTTCATTTTAAAATCATGTTCTTATTGGGAGACCTCTTATAAAAAACTGGAGGAAACGAAACATTAAAATAGCTTTTTGTAAGAATGCACCGATTGATTACTATGAAAGGAAAACCAAATTAATTTTAATTGAAGCTTGTTATATTAAAATAATTAAACGAGGGTTAACGTTTTATTAAAGTTTATGAACACTGTATTTAACACGTGAATTTAAATGTATTTAATGCATTTGAATATCCAAGGAGCCTGAAATGGAAGTTTACTTTTATCTTCAGCATGAGATTTATTAGTTATTTACTTAAATAACCATATTAAATTTACTGCCTCGCTAAATACTGTTTAATAATATGCAATGAAATAGGTTTTGGGTTTTGAAAGCAAGTATTTAAGGCCATTTTTACTCAACTGAGTACTTATTTTAAGTGTCAAATTGGACACTGTTATCTCACAAAGGGTGATTTCTTTTGAGCTCATGAAAATGAAATAATGAATCTTAGTATTAATTAGAATTATTTTCTTGAAGCAGACTTACATTAACAAATATGTTTTTAACTGAGAAATTAAATCTGCATTTCTAATCTTTAAACATTACAGAGTTATGCACGAAGTTCATGCCGCCAAATGCTTAGAACCCACTAATCTGTCTAAATACATAATGTAAATACTGATTTAAGCTAGAGGTTTTTACTAAGAAAATTAGAGGATGATTTTAAAAAAATGTTCATGAAGGGTTGAATGACTCAAGGTTTTGATTTTTTTACACTAGCAACATTTCATTTTGCAATTTTGATAATGTCAGTATAAAATTTGCAGGTGCATGTGTTAAAATTATTGGTTGTTTAAAAACATAAAACATTTATTGGTAATTTGTATTTAACGTTACATAATTAAGAATAGCGCCAACTGAAACGTTTCTGCTGCTTTCAGTGTGTCTCACATTGCTTGTAATCTAGTAAGCGCTGATTGCAAAGTACAGTTTTACTAAGTAAGATTTTCTATCTTTCAGAAGGAATGAAATCTAAGTCAAGAAACTATAGAAACACTTCATATTTATATAGTCCTGATCATGTCAGTCTACATACTCCCGTCGCATATGTTGAAGTGTCTGCTGTTTTTAGTTTGATTACGAATGTTTGAAGTCTAGTAGTAAGCACCAATAACTACGTACAACTTTATAACAGCACGATTCCCTAGCTTCCGAAGGAAATAAAATCTAACTCAAGAAAGCTTTATTTATTCAAGCTGAAATCCATCAGCTAGCTGAGAACAAGGTACTAAACAACAACATAACATGTGATAGATATAAATCTGAACTACAAATTAGTTAAATAACATTCTATGTTATGCACTTAGTAAGGTGTAATACTCTAAATGTATAATACAAATAAAGTACTTTAAACTAAAAGACAATTTTGCACAGCTTCCTTTTTTAGTTAATGAAAGGAAATCTGTGTTAAAAAGTTTTAATTTAAAGATAAGAACTTTTATTGCTTTTAAATCTTACTGAGCCCAAAATACAGCCTTTCAAAGTTATTACTCACCTTCATAACCTATGCTCTTAATTTACTAATATGAAGATGATCTGAAAGGACCTAAATTTCTGTCAAAAACTCAACGCAGAGAATTTCTCCATAATTACATTTAATATAGAAGACGAGTAATGTAAAAGTCAGAGGGTAAAATATGATAATAAAATATTGATTACATAATAAATAAATTAGTAAACCATTTGAAAATATGCCCATTGCAATTGAGTACAATTAGTAGAAAATGTAGTACATGTATAATAATATATTGTGGGAAGAAGAACTTATAAGCTATTTATCCCACCTTTTTGAATGTGTTCGTAGTGTAATTGGAAGCATACTCGACGTGTATTCGAGAGGTGTAGGGTTAGAGTCCCGAAGAGGGCACTGCACATTTTTCAAGTCTTCTGCTTCAAAATCATTTGATAAATTGAAGTTGAGAAATTAAATATAGTTTCTTAATTTTAGTTTACTATTTGATGTTGCAGCGGTTTTTCGTGTCGCACTTTATCCAATACGATATTCTGAAACTGATGTTAAAAATATTGTGTATAAAAGCGAAATGGAATAAAAATATATTTCTCAGAAGTTTTTGATTAAAATTGAGTTATAAATTTAAAGATATCAGTATTATATCTATCAAACACAAGAAGTAATAATGTTTATAGTCTGCAATCCATTCAATACAAAGAATAATTTCTTACCTCACAGGAATCTTGACCTCCACTTATATATCCTGCACAAACAAAATTGCTTCGAATTGCTTTCTGATGCCCGGCATAATAAAACATTCTTTGACAATCTCCATTTGCTACAATGGGAACTTGAACTTCTTGTAAAATATTGGGAATATCTCCGCCTAAAAGATAAATCTCAATGAGATAAAATAAAGAATTTAAAACAGCATAAGTAATTGTAATAATAATATTTGTAAATTTTAGAATTTTCTACATGCATGATGCATACACATTTTTACAGACTACATTTCAAATTTCACTGTGAAAACATATAATTTTGAAGAGTGTGTATGAAGCAACATATATGTTTAAGTAGTCATTTTGCTGCCCCGTAAGCAATATCCCATACAGACTATTACTGCAGTAAGTGAATCACTATTTATGCAGCGTATAGGAGATCAAGTCTGCAGACAGCAATCTGCTGTGTTAACTTAATTTATATTTACATCACTGTTTTCGGTGTTTTGTGTTCTTAAAGATAATGTATGTTGAACATACATCTCAGTATTTCATTGGTAGATATCACAATTTACATTAAATCAATCACATGAGATTTTTCTAAATTGTAAGATAAACGTTATTTCACCATTTCGTTGAAGTTATAACAGATTTTTAAGTGGCTTCTTATTTATTTCTCGGTTCCTTCATATACAAAGTAAAGTAAAGGCAATCAGATCTCTTCTAAGTTATAGTTTTCTCAGGCTTATAAAACTAAAGCTATTTTCCTCTCCAAGTAGATATGTAAATATCCACTTTTACAGTGATAATCGATTTTGAAAGATTTATTTCTCTTGCGTTTTATATAGGCTCAAATGCAGCAAAACTATACTGAATTTAAGTATTCGAAAATGTATTTTGTGTTTTTGGTGCTCTAACAAGATACTTAAATTAAAATGTCGTCTTTTACTTGAGATATCCAAGAAAATTTTATTGTCTTCCAGAATGAGAAAGCAATTAGTTCATTCAAATATTTTATTAATTTTTCAAGGAAATGTTCTGAGTGAAAGTGATTGTTAGAGAATTATTCATGTCGTCTTTTAAGAGTGCAAATATAAAATGTTATTCAACGAGGATGAACTGAATGCTACTTCCTATTTATACTTTTGTAACAGGCGAAAGAAATTCCTTTCTAACAAATCGCTTTTACATGGTACGAACTGAATAGCATTTCATATTTACATTCATATCTATATCTTCTTTGTACTAACAAATTCCTGTTCTTTGCGTTCTCTATGTTATGCACTTAGAAAGGTAATACCCTAAATTTATAATAAAGTACTTTAATCTATAAGACAGTTTTGCACAGCTTACGTTTTTAGATATTGAAAGGAAATCGAAGTTAAAAAGTTTTAATTTAAAGATAAGAAATATTTAAAACATGTTTTGAATGAAAAAGATGCTTGAAAGAAAAAACATTGCATTTTTCAAATACTGAAAAGGTAAGAAAAACAAACATTAAATAAGACAAATTTATTATAAAATGCAGTGTTCTTTGAATAAAACAAAGATGATGTGAATTAATAAAATAAGAAAGAAATTACGTATTAAAGAGATAAGAATTATTGATATGAGAATTATACAAGCCAGATTTAAAATAGGACAGTTTCAATTCTATCCGTGTCCTGTACGATTCACGGACCTTCTTCTTAATGCATGCTTTATCTTAACTACTTGATAACATAAGATCTAATGAATTTTGATATTTATCTTGATTTATCGCGAAGAAGGTGGGAGAAATACCTTATAATCTCAACCATACGTCACTTTTTCTTTTTTTTCAAAGATTTTTTTTTAAAAAAATTAACTTTTTTGATCTAAAATCTTGTTTTTTTAATTCTATTCTCATTTAAGAGTTATTCGGAAATGATCGTAATTTAAGCTAAATTTTACCTCAGAAATGCAGTATATACATAAAAAAAATTTAGTTGATGAAATGAATCAAGTGTCAAACATTCCTTTTTAATGTTTTTGAATCACAATGACTTAAATTATTATACAATTGAATAAATCTATTACAAGTTTAAGAGTTTAACCCTCACAAATAAAATTAAGCGAGTCGCCTAAATCAATCAAAACTAATTAATTTCAAGCTAAAACAGTGTTCCATACATTCCAAACTAATTTGCGGACAGCTAATACAACGCTTAATACACAAAGAGAGAGCGTAATATTATCTAGTTTCCTAAGGAATTTGTTGATAGTTTTCAAGCTTAATCTGAGTCACATGACATGTCGGATAATTTTCTTACTCGTTCAAACAAATTTTAAGAAAGTGGCACATATATTCTTGACGCCCTCTTCCTTTCTCTCCCGAGCCCACCAGCGGCCGAGCGGTAAAGTCGCTGAACACTGGTAGTTCGGTCCGAGGTTCGAATCCCAAAGCAACCTTCTAAATTTAATTCACTATAACCTCTTTTATTTTCTATTTCATTTGGAAACTTCGAGATTCGAATCCCGCGAACGGGCTGGCTGCATTGGCGTTTTCGTGGTTTTCCCCATGTCTAACGTGTATACGAGCCAGTTTCCCTTAGAAAGTCCTCTACGAAGGCATCCCTTCCCTTAGGCAGATAGCCCTAGTGTGCTTTGTCGTAATTAAAAAAATTAACCAAACCAACCAAACCCTTTCCCCCCCCCCTCTCTCTCTATAGATGAAGAAAAATGAATGTTAAAATAAACTAGCAATTAAACCATGCACTGAAAGCGACCGCTTAATTATTGAATAGTTATAATGCAGCTGATTTTTGTTTATTTTTGAAGTAACTAATGTAAAATTTAATTTTCCTAAATCTAGATTTTCTAAAATTTTTTAAGTTTTAAAAAATTGTGCAATTGTGTAAATTGTGCATTGGTTAGTTCAGAAACAGGCTATGATTTTTCTTTCATCTCGAGGTCCCATGATAAAGATGTGAAAAATGTAAAATTACTTTTCTATATTTTAAAATTTTTCATGTATGTGTATCATTTTTCTCAGTTTTATGCAGTAATTGGGTTCACTGTTTTGATCACTTTTCGTTTTTTTTTTTTTTTTTTTTTTTTTTTTTTTGCTTTGCTGTTTCTATAGAGTATGAATTTAAAATTCATTATTTGTTTTTGAATTACGTTATACATATATATAACATGGTAAAATATTAATGCTGTTATTGATGCAGAATAGATGAAGCTGATGACGATTTTTTCTTGAATAATATTTAGCTCTTGGACTAGCCGAGATTATATTTCCTTAAATATAATTCCCAAAATAATAAAACACGTAAAGTTATGGAGCAGGGAAACAATGAAGAATTGTTAATAACTACATAAATAGACATTGATGAACACCATGATGAAATTAACGAACAACATTGTTAAAAGGATAGAAGCAAGCGTGAGACGAGCGAAGATTATGATATAACCAATAGATTATGAATAGTGAAGTTTGTTAATTTCTCAAAATACAGACGTGGTATTCTTTATTTAAATTAGTTTAGTTAATGTTCCGATTTAATTCAACTTGGATAAAAGATTTTACTTACACATTTACGGTATGTAACTATAAGTGTGATAAGCATTATATAAAAATCACATGACAAGTATTAATTTTGAAAGGCCCTAATTCATAAAGATTTGTTATAAGAATATTACTCATTATTAGGATAAAAGCTAAATAACCACATTTAAGAAGGTGACTTTAGGAGCAACTACAAATTAAAAGTAGAATTTTTTCTTATAAATATAAATATATACTATATATATATATATATACGAGAAATCTTATGCAGCTGTTCCTGGCAAAACACGGAACAAACTGAGTAGCACATCCTCCCTACTCGCCGGACATGTCACCTCCAGATTTTTTCCTCTTTCCCAAGATCAAGAACACTTTAAAAGGACACCGCTTTCAGGACATTGTGACCATAAAACAGAATTCGACGCAGCAGCTTCAGGCCATCCCAAAGTCGGAGTTCCAGAAATGTTTCGAGGACTGGAAACATCGTTGGGCCAAGTGTGTTACTGCCAATGGAGCATATTTCGAAGGAGATTAACTCAAAACCTGTTTTGCATAATAAATTCAGTCTCGATACGTTCTGAGCAGGCCTCATATATATATATATATAAGATATATATGTAAAACGAAGCATTTTTTGAACACAGCTTGGAAAATTATAATCTTTATTTCGTTACGCATGCATTTTTAACGAAGAAAAATGTTTCAGAACTTACCATGAGTAAGTTTACCCCAACCAGTAACAAATGCCATTTTTCCTGTGAAGTCCTCATTTCGGTGTGGTAAGCAAATGGGAACTACGTGTGGTAAAAACTCCACTTTTTGATCCATTTCCAAAAGAGCCAGATCATTTTCAAATGTTTGGGCATTATAATGTCTGTGTACTACCATTCGCCTAACGTCTCTGATAACTGGAGGCTTGCTGGCGTAACTTCCACTCAAGTCGTGAGTTCCTAGAACGACGTACAGCGACGCAAGGAACCTGAAAAACAACATGGAGAATCGATAAAACATTCCGATTATTAGATAGTTTCTTAAGTTTATCCGAGATAATCTGTCTCCACTCGGGTAGATGTATTATTAATGAAAGTAAAGTGGCGGAATATATGGTCTGCTGATGGAAAGTGTGTACCTAGTTAGAACTCGGCAACATATTTAAACCATCAGCTAGAAAAATGCTCGTCTTAGGTTTTGAAGGGCATTAAGAGTTTGAAAAACAAAAAGCTGTTCCAAAAAATATTCTAGGTTATTTTAAGTATTCTAGGTTATGTAAACATTCTACATTCTTAGGTCTAAAAATACATAAAGATGTTAGAATGATATTTCCACAGCTTTCACCTCTTTTCTTCAAATTGTTTACATATGGCTTGACCACCTCCCGATAACAGATTTCTTGAATATATTTAGAAGAAAACTAACGTATGTAAACCGTAACAAATTTTTGCAATCTCATTCACCTTTTGCAATAACCTGTAGCTAAAAATTTGCTGTTTTATTGTATTTAAACAACTTTACGCACAGGGTAACTAATCCACTTAGGAACTGTGCTGATAACCATGTAGTATAAGCGATGCGAGGGATTCTAAATATATTCCCAGGTCCCAAAAGCATGTCTCCTAATACTTTGGTTTTTATGAAACAACGCAATGGTGATTCCAGCGACTTATGAGTATTCAGCTGTTAATGTGAAAGAGGCTGAAAGGGGACAATGTGCCATTCTTTTAATCAAAATGGGCTAGTTTCTTCTCGGGTTCCCTGATAATTTTCCAACTGATTGTCAGAACGGAGTAGACATATTTTCGATGACGTACGACGTTGATATATGATTACAGAGTGACAGAGCTTGATGCATAAATATGGTGGCTGTCGTCGTGGCCAGTTAACGCATTGTTTGTTACTTGCATTATATTTTAATGGAAACACAGCAATCGACGCAGTCTGCTTGCCTTCTCTTGATCAGTTATATTTGTTTCTTTTTACATCTTTATTATAACATATTTGACAATAGAAAGACAAGCAGGAGCATCAAAGCCGGAATTAGACTTTTAGGCCCTAAGCACTTGAAAGACTTCAGTGCTCCCTCATATGTTTAAGCCAGCCTTTTCTGCATTCCTTCGGTCTCTCTGGGTTTTGGTTTAGCTGCACCATACATATCATTGTAAAGCCCGCAATAAAACAAAATTTTTATGTCTCCTTCTGAATACCCAAGGTCCTTTTTATGGTGCCCCCTTTCCTTGATGCTTCAAGCCCTGGAGCACATATTAACAGAGCAGAAGAATGAGCAGAAACGAGAGAAGAATGCTTGAGGAAGATTCCAAATGAAGCTTTGGGAAAATTATAGCTGTACCTTTTGGTTATTGACTAATTTTAATGTTACGTCTGGCTGAACCTACCGTTATAAGTATTTGCACCATTAGTGTTATATAAAAATCATGTGAAAACGATTAATTTTAAAATGACGCAGTTTAGAACGATTTATTTCAAGAAATGACTAAAATAGGATAAAAGAGGGTAATAACGAAATTAAAAGGAAGAGATAAGGGACAACTAGCAAGTGAAAGTTAGTATTTTATCTTACATATGCATCTTTATGTTATTGTTACAACATAATAGTGTAAATCAAATGAAAATAATTTTCATACATAACGGGTATTTAATACACACATAAAAGCGCAATAATACACTTATACACTATGAAACAATACAGCAAATAAACACTCTGATAAAATTTTGTAAACCATTTTTTAAACAACTGATGACTGTTAAATTGTCTCTAAGTGGAAGCACGTAGCACGTTTTAAGAAACGCTAACAAAAATACACTAAATTAAAAAAACACGTCTAGAATAAAAATAGCAGAGACAGTGAAGGTACTCTGCTGACCATTAAAACTGCAACACCAGAAAGGGATGATCTGACGAACGTCAAAATCACATGAAAGGAAAACGAGGTTGGGATATGCAAGTAATTAGTATTTCAAGCGCATTTAGACGACGCAGGAGGAAGAAATAACATCTGAAGCACTGCATAAAAGAAATGGTATGAAATGGATTTCTCACTCGGAAAGCACTTTGTAAGTTCGGAGTTTGATCATAATATCATGTTATGCTTCGAATAATAATAAGAAATGCTTTATAGCAAGTGTCGGAATTCGATAGAGACAGGATCGCTGCCTAGCGAGTGTGTGGATTATTGTTCCATGATATCGCCCGCCGCATTGGTCGACATCCAAACAGAGTCATGCGAATATGGAATCAATGGGTTGCTGAGGGTCATACTGAACGGCATGCAGGATTTCAACACCCTCCCATGATTAACGCCTGAGAGGGCAGACATTTTGTGAGGCCAGCCCTGAAAAACCGTATAACCATATCACGGACCATTAGTCAGGAAATGGGCATTTTCAGCACCTTCATTATCCACTCGTAAAGAGTGTCAGCGTTTGCAGCAGAGTATACTATCAGCGCGGCGACCATTACTGCGACTTTCCTTGATAATGCAGCATAGAGACTGCGACTCTGGTGCGTCGAACGACAAAGTTGGATACAGGAGTAGCAAAATGTCGTCTTTTCAGACGAGCCCCGGTTGTACGTGCAGTATTCTGATGGCCGTATACATGTATGGAGGCTCCGAGGAGACTGCACGTCGCCTGCTTGCATTCGATATGGCAATGAGGACCCTTCACCTGGTGTGATGTTTTTGACAGCAATTGGGTTACTACTGAACAGCCATTGACAGACTTTGTCAGCCATTGGGTACATGACAGGCACATCTCTAGTTCGGAATGACGGTAATTTCAATCGTCAGATCGGTACATTTCTGACATCTTACGTCCAGTGGTTGTGCTTCATCTTGGATGCCTGCCAAACGTCATCTTCCAACAAGATAATGCAAGACCGCATGTTGCAAGTTGTGTTCTGACCTTCCTCGATACACAGGGTACTCGACTGCTGTCCTGGCCTGCACAGTCTTCATATCTGTCACCCATTGAAAACATCTGGTCATGAGTTGCTGAGAAACTGGTTCGCCAACCCTCTCCAGCTAATACGGTTGATGAAGTGTGGCATAGACGTGAAACAGTTTGGAATGAGTTGCCCGTTTCTGTCATAAAAGCCCAGTTCCACTCCATGCCTAACCGGGTAAGGGCCGTTTTAACTGCCAGGGTTGGCAGCTGTTTCTACTAATTTTGCACCCCTGTTAACCCCTAAACTGCTTATAAATTTAAGCCGTACTGTTTGCACAAAATAAATATCTTTTGTATTTGCTTTCGTTCATGGTGTTGCAATGTTAACGGCCAGAAGTATATTTTGATGTAGCAACAATGATTTAAAGATTACAGCGCTAAATTATCAAGTACTCGGGAAAGAAAGATCCGAAAATTTTAAAACACTTCGCCCACCACATAACATTCCAGACTTTTCCCAGAATCTTTGATAATAAATGCTCAAATAAATTTTTAACGAGTTAGGATAATTAAGGCTGTAATGCACATATTTTTTATAAAAGCTTTGGCGTGTTCAGAGACCAGGTGTGGCTACAAATGAATGCGACAGAATTGAATTTTCTTACTATCAAAAATAATCATATCTCATAAACGCTGTTCTGATTCAAATAATTTTCACAAAGTGACGTTTGAGCAACTACTGCATAAAATAAACTGTATAAAATAAATTTATCTCGTTTCATTTATACAAACAATGTGTTTCGAAAATGATTCTGGATGCCGTAAAAATGAGCATAAATTATACAATAAATTTCTATTCACTTATCAGATTACAATTAAAAATTGTTTCAGTGTCTCATATCTCTAAACAGTGCTAATATTATATATCATTATGTTAAGAAGTGTGAATTAGAAGACGAGAGAAATGCTTTTTAAATATGTATTAAAATAAGTAAATACATAATATTTGCTTATTTTCGTAATTTTCTGCGAAACAGGTATTAAAAGTCACATAAAAGCAATATCAATCAATGCTTTCTACAGTTTTTTAAATTAAATAAACTGTCTAACTTCAGTCAGTCTAATAAGGGACAAATAAACATGCAGGGCAATAAGAATGAATGTCTAACATTTACCTCGAATTCAAAGTATTATTTATGAAGAAATCTCCTGTGAAAAGTTGTTTCATTTGAACCTTTTCCATTAATCATATTTTGGAAAGTTATTGATAATAGAAATATAAATAATTGACTAAAATGACTAAATAGGAACTTTAAGTTACCCTGGCTGACAATGAGCTGCAGTTAACACGTATTTATCTGTGATGAGAACACCTCCACATTTATTCTTCACAAAAAGTCCCAACCACGTAGCTTCTTTCACTAAAACCTTATAAAAAGATAAAATAAAAGGTTAAAAGGTGTCATACATAAGAGCAAATAACTAATTAATAATTGATAAAATTTTAGTTTCTTCGTTGAAAGAATCATCTTAAAAACGTTTCAAAACTATCTGATTGATAATTAAGAAAATGCGATTAACAGTAGTTGATTGAATATAGATAAGAAACTGATAGAATTTGATAAGAAATTATATACTAGTTCAACAGGCAGTAATAATGCCAACATTCAGCAAAAAATGGAAGTGGAAATGTTCATTTATTATTTTCTAAAGAATAATGGGAAATTTCAGTCAAGTCATCTTGAACAGAAATAAATCCTCTAATTTTGAATCACAAAAAGTGTTCATAATGAATACTAATACTTGAAAGTTTGTTGGAAAATAGGCGAATACATATAATGATCTACAGGACAGACTGGACAGTGTTTTTCCTTCATTATCCAATTAGATTTACTTTGCGCCTCCATTTGTTTATTCTCATTCGTTTGAGAATTCACGATTAAATAAACCAGAGAACAGTTCATATATAACTGCTGGATTTATTCGATTACGATTTTAATTTAAAGCAGTATCTTCATCATTACTTTGTTAGACGGGTGCTGTTGAGGATTTGAATTTAGTTGCTACAAGAAATGAATAATCTTACAAGTTTTTTAATTGCATGAATTAGTCAACTTATGTTTAAATTACTTCAGGTAAAAGTAGTTAGTGTGAAAGCCAAGGAAGAATACCTTTGCAAGTATTTAGTTAAGCTGCTGTGTGTTATTCCTGAAAAAATGAATTGGAACTGTGTAAGGATTTATTGCCCTCCCCCCGTGCGTGCTCTCATCGTATAAGGAATCATGTAAAATACGCGTCCAGCTGGCAAGCGAATAAAAGACCCGTGGCTGGAATCTCGGTGAGGTCACAGTTTATTTTAATAGTTTCTCTGCTACAAAAACATAATCTCCACAACTGTAAGCTCTTACATCAGATGAAGAGTTTCTGTTTATCTTTTGAATTTCTTAAGTTCAAATTGAGATTGAAATAATATTAAGTTCTTTTTTAGCTTTTATCTTTATTTTGGTTTGATCTCTAAAGCGAAAAGTCGCTAAAGGGCTGCGAGTTAAAAGTAAAAGCAGCGAAGCTCTCGTAAAGTACGCATGGTATGATCTAAAAGAGATACCATTTACCAGTTGCATCCATTTAAAGATGACGATTCAAATGTTTTTATAATAGTAGAGCTGAAAAGATGGCAATTTTATGAAATTCCATGCACTAGCTGTTCACTCGATTCCTGAATTGAAGAAAATAAATTTTATGTTTCAAGATTAACAACACGTGTACATTTACGCATGCATATACATATTACATATATATATATTGTAAAATAATGAGATAAATCTTGAACCTTAATCGTTTGTGAGCAAAGTGCACATTTTCTCGACTTACCTGCCACGGCCATTTACCAAAATAAGTATTTTGTCCTCCAACTATCCGTCCCATAGGTTGCATGAATCTTACTCCACAATCTGAAAATTAACCAATAGCAATAAGAGCATATTTTATGGACAAGCTTAGCATGATATGCATTATCTAATATCATATTCTGCAAGATATTATTTCTTTCTTCTAAAATACTTTTCATTGTTTTCAAATATAAGGTTTTCTGTATACTTGACTATATAGAGATTCAATTGTCCGTGAAAATGATAAAGAATTAAGTTCTTATGAAGTGGCGAGTTTTGTCTGAGAGGGAAATTTACCAACTTTTATTAACACCCTTATGCGTATCCCAGCAGTTGCATTGACGCCATGAAATCTGTAGACGATTTCTTATCATGTACCTTACAATGAATATTCAGTAATTTTGATGTTGACTGAGATCATTAGCTGACGAAGATCCTCAGGATTTCACCTTTGATTTCATAAACCATGTGTGTTATGTAAAAATTCACCACAGAAAACCAAGTAAAGGAAAAGGTAAGAGAATTTTCGAAACACGTAACCAATCCAGTGAAACTCATCTGTGTCTCTAAGGGAGATGGCCCTTCTATTAAAAATGGACTGCAGGCGTAAGTGTTAAATCTGAGGGAAGACCTGTTAGAAAATGTTGAGGTAGATGGTGTTAATAACAAATTCAAAGCTTAAAAACGGCGTCATCTACGCATATTTAGCTAAACTATCAACAAACTTTAATATAGAATTTTTAATAGACTAATCATAATTTATATATTAATGTATCTCAGATGATTGTACTAAAATTATAGTACAAAGTCCGGAATCGGCGGGACCTTGACGGCGATTGCGGATTTTGGAAATTTCCAAATTTTATATCATCACTTTAAATCTAGTAAGATGACATGTAGATATGCCAGCCTTGCGGCTTGGCTTATTGTTTATGCGAAATAGAAGAATGTTAACCCCTTAATAGGATCGGCGCCAGATTTCAGGAGCTGCAGTAATTTTGGAATTGAAAGGAGCACCGAGCAGCAAAAATTAAGGCAAAATATTTAGAATTTAGGAGATGCACTGAGCAGCAGAATTTAGGACCCGCAAAGATTGCACGGGGGGGGCAGGTGCGTAACGCTGGTCCTGTCCCCCCCCACAACCACTCAAGAGCCGAAAGTGAGATCCTGGCTAACATCAGTACAGTACCAAACAATGTATTGCTATTGGCCACCGTGCGATTCCCTAGCCATCACGTGCTTGAAAATGGCGTGCAGGAATCACATTTAATCGAAAGAAAAATCACATTTACGGCATACCTTATTCGTTTTGCTAAGTACTATATTCTCCATTCCTAGATTTATAAAGGGGAAGGATTTTTTTGCCCCTGAAGAACTACTGTTTTCGTTTTGCGATTTTGCGTTGAAAACTTCGTTTTCACCAAATACTTTCGTCCTGTATTATATCTGAAGAAATTAAATAATGAAGAATCTGCATAAATGTATGTATGTTTCTCGCATTGTGATAAAAACAAAGGTACCTAGAGTCATCCAATTTTCAATTACATAATCCTACTGCGAATATGGGCATCTGAAGGCACAAATTTTGAAATTTGGAATTTGTTTTATTATCGATTTCATAATTTGTGAAACTTTAACGAATTTTTAATTATCGAACACACAAAACGTTAAAAAAACGCCCCTTTGAACGTAATTTAAAATTTGAAACCTTTCATATTTTTTTGTATGTTTTTATTTTATTTGTTTTTTATTTTTCGCTGGAAGTGCGAAGGTCCGGATATTGGACGTTCGGATTTCAAACTTTGCACTACAATGGCAAAGATTACCTTAAAGCTCAATTAGGTTGCCTATTATAAAATAAATATTCGCAAGTGAATTTCTATTGTTACGCAGTTACTTTCCATCCACGTACTTTTAAATGGATCTTTTAAAACTACTAAAGCTTTAGGAAAACAGTTTTTTACTAATATTAAAACTATTTGCATTCATAATGTCAATATTTTAAAATTTTTTATTGAAGTTTGTGTATAATTAGTAAACCCAAACTGATTGCTTAATTAATAAATATTAATAAATATATATAATTAAAAAACTTTAAACAGATTGCTCCCCGGATTTGTCAAGCATGTGCGTGTATTACTAGGGTTCGAAGCCCAAGTGAGGTGACTGAGCTTTTTATGAAAATGCATATAAGTAACAAGCTTCTAGGTGTACCTCCTAAAGTTTACTGTAAAAGTAATTTAAATCACACAATTTACTTGACAGTATTTTAGTTACGAAAAGGGCTATTGGCAGAAATGACTTATAATGCCCAAAACTTAAATAGATGCTGTTTGAAAGCAAAGAACCATAAGCCGTAGAATTTTCAGAAAGTTATAAATCGAGTGATAGATTTTATTATTCATACTTCCATATGTTCAAGTAAAACAGACTTCTTCAACGACTGATAGCAATGAAACCTGCGAGCATCTAAAAGATCGGACACAACTGCATTCTTACTATTGATGTGTCAGTCATCGTAGTTGCTCCACCAGTAGTACGTATGCAATTTGAAATCACAGTAGTACTTGCAACGAAATTTAAAGAAGGTTAAAATGATAAAATTAGCTCAAATTATAAATTTCAAAAGCACACGTGACAGAATTTTACAATGTTTGGTGAGGAAAATCTCTCTAAAGCCTGGCAGTATTGAAATAGGAAACGCTGAACCAAACCTAATATTACCCTGATCAAGGAAAACTTCATGTTTGATGCTCTGTACCTTATTCACCCTTTGAATCATTCGGGTGTGAAAACGTGCCTACTTTTTTTACACGTCTATCTCGTGTGTCTCAAGTTTCACAGATATAAAGTGTCTGATGAAAAAAAAATTGATGAACATATTTTACCAAGTTTTTGGCTCAAGGTCTAATATATTTATATTGCACAAACTAAGCAGCTCCCTACCTTTCCAAAAATATTGAATTTTTATGTCCTATCTTCACGATAAGAAATTTTGCTGCAGGATTTAGCAGATGAGTTACTATTATCGTGAATAAGATCAATAAAAATGCTTTGTTTTCTGATTATTTTTATTAGAGTTCAAGAAATGCAACTACGTTTCAAATTGTCTACAATGGAGTTATGACAGTTGTGGAAGTTAAGTCGATAGTTTTTCCAAAGAACTGCCATAATGCAATGTGAATAAAACGAGCTGTTCCTGTCGAAAAATTAATAATAATGGTTTCCTTTTTCAAAATCAAGGGCACTAAGGGGATTCTAATGTTATTTACTGTTGTGTCACTACTAATGATAAAAATAAATCTGTTATTATCAGAATGATGAAGTAAGTATAGGCTTAGGCGATGCGATATTGTTGGTGAGATAATAAGCGGATATTTCTTTATGTTAAGGTATATATTATGTTTTACTAATATGGTTGAACTCACTCTTAATATTTTAAGCGAAATGTATTAAGTAATGGTGAAATAACGAAAGTTCTTTATTCATTAATATAATCAGTATAAATTGCTGTACAACGCTCAAAAAATCATTTGGATATCTCACAGCTTTAAACGATTTAAAATACTAAATGTAGAAATTTTAAAAAAGAAACATATTATCTGGAATTTCTATTTGTACTTCACTATCATATACAAAGATAAAAAGAAAATAAAACCTGAACTTTTTCAAATTATATATTACGCCCAAAGGGACTTTTTTTAACGTTTTGTGTATAACCTTTGTTTATTAAATATTATGTTCTTCCCACTTAAAACATAAAATTCAGTGCAAGAGCAATATCGCAAAATAATTTTAAATTGAGCATATCTTTAGAATTTCCGATACATCTCCGCGCGGCGATAAAATAGTTTTTCTGCACAACATTGCCATTTCTCGCTTTGAAATCCTTAGTTTGTTACTCATAATTCGTTAATTTTACAACATATGATGCCATATTCTGGAAGATTACGTTTCTTCAGAAGAGCCTCTAGGTACCTTTGCTTTATCACAATGCGAGAAATATACATGAATTTATGCAGATTCTTCATTATTTAATTTCTTTAAATATAACACAGGCTGATAATATTTGGTGGCAACAATATGAAAAGTGAACCAACGTAAAATTCCAAAACGAAATTAATAACCCTTCTAGGCTTACGCCCTTTGGGCTAATAAATAATAATTAAGTAATTACTATAAAGAATAACATTAAGGCATATTTCCTATTTGTAACGAATGTTATGAAAACAGATAAATCTTCACTATTTCATTTTAGATTTTAGCATCTAGACTAATATATATTTCTTAGTTAAATTTCAGAGGAATACTAATTCAAATGATTTTAAAATTGAAATTTTCATCTAAAGAATGCCTGACGATTATGGAATATCCGATAATACTGCAGCTCGGAAAATGATGCTGCATAATTTCCTACAGATAATTACAATATGTTAAACAACATCGAATTTAAATAGAAAGAAAATACAGCTTTTATAATTCAGAAATAAATGAAGTATAAGTTGTGACGATTATGTGATATAACGATCGTAACAAATGTATCAAAACCGAGAAAAGGGGAAATTAGTAAAAGTTGTTGAAATTACCGAATTTTATTGACTCTCTTTGTATTGTAGAAAATGTTAAAATGAAAAGTTTGAAAATAAACCTATTAATTTTATGCATTACTTTCGTGGTTTTCCCAATGTGTGAAGTGTGGACGAGGCAGTTTCCCTTAAAAAATTCTCCATGAAGACACCCATGAGACAAAATAGTAGTACAAATCCATGAAAGCCTTTTTACGAAACGCAAAAACAAAGTGAGTCGATTACTGATTGCTTCTGATTAATGCAATTACATAAAGAGGCGTCAGTACCTTCAGAATTTCTCAGGATCAATTAGCGCAACTTCGACGGAATCTCCGCCAACTTTCACGGTCTATGAGATAATATATAAGTATCAGAACGAACATAATCCAGGAATTTTCCCTCCTAGATTATCAGCTGCTTGAGCGATTGACTTTGTAATTGTGGGATACGAACATCTAATCACAGTTACAACGTTACTGATCTTGATACGCTATACCAAAAGCTGGATTAACCATTATGCAAAATAAGCACTTGTTTAGGGCATCAAGAAAAGTGGGCACCAAAACATTTTTTCCACTGCCGTTTTACCATAGAGAAATAATGAAAAAAAAAAAAATAAAATAAAACACGGGTAGAGCATCAAGAACATTTAAGCGCTTAGAGCCAAGTCTTAATCCGGCCTTCGGGGCGCCATGTGCAAAATGACGAAATAAAAGTCAGCGCAACATTGATCGCCACTACCTAGATTCCTACATAATCGAATTTATGGGAAAGACGCAACTGTTTTCCGCAATGTTAAATAAAATGCACAGTTTTATGTCTCTTATGTAACTTGAAATTAATGTGGTGAGATCTGTTTAATATTTTTGTATTTGTCTTTATTTTTTATATTTATTACGAATTTAACAAAATAGTCATTCTTTTTATGAAGCTTTACATAACGTTAGGCTTGTCGTTATCTAGTTAGATTTCGCCCCAACGCTTATGGTTAGCGCTAAGTGGCGTCCTGTTAAAATGCACTGGCAAAAGTCTGTCATAAAAAGTTCATCAAAATTGAGCACCCGTATCTAAGGCAAACTTAAAACTATACATCACATAAAAAGCGAATAATTGATAGTATAAATTTGCTAGATCTAACAATTAAGCTGAAAGTATCCTCTAATATTTCACCTTCAGTTTTCATTCGAAAAATAGAGATGAGCGCGTTGTAAAAGGGGCTACATGACTTCAAGAGTTCTCTTTTACAGTTCTTGCAGCTTTTGGCTACGTACAACATTTGAGGCTTTGGAAACAGTGCAGCAAATTTTACAGTTGTGCAAGTACAAACAAGCACAAGATATTTTTCTTTCAGTTGCGCTATCATGTACGGAATATACGGAAATTATGTATATCAAATTATTTATTTTATAAAGTAAATATGCCATATATTATTTAAAAGTTAGGAATGAAACAAAGTTTATAAATGTATGATGAAGCTCTTAGCTAAGAGATCTCAAAAGTAATACATACCAGCGACTATTACTATAATGTCTGTTACCTATAGGTAACAGACATTATAGTAAACTTATAGTAAATAAAACTATAGTAGACATTATAGTAAATAAAACTACTTACCTTTTTTGTAGTTCCATCGATGATTCTCATTCATTGCTGTTGGCCCTTTGGATGTAGCTGACTGTATTGTTGAAACGGAAAATGAAGTTGGAGTAGTCGTTTCAAACATTAAAGTGTCTACACCTTCACTTGCTGGAATACCATTCGGCAAGTTTGTGGATACTGTATCCTGATAAGTCACTGCATTATCATTTATGAAAGCAGTCGGATATGTTGACGAGTTCATTGATTCTGCGTTTATATAAGTTACTGAAGTTTTATTATTGTTAAGCGTCATGTTTGAAACTGATACGTTCATTAAAGATGTAGGGGATGGAGGAACGGAATAGTTATTTAAATAATTTTCAAGAGATAACTCGCTAGAATTCGCTGTTGTCAAACTGTTTACTTCGATGTGAGATTGGGGCAATGTTACAATGTCTACAGCGCTGGTTTTATTTGTTAAATTGCTTTCTGCACTGGCCGGCAAAGTAACACCAGCAGCAGTTAATAATAAAAGCTCAGAAATGTTCGTTGAATTAGAACTCTGCGATTCCTGAATCTGTTCTTGAGAACTTGAAAAATGTAATAAATCATCCAATGAACTGTTTTCGGTTATCGAATGTAGCCCAGTATCGTATTCTGCATCATTTCCTTCACTTTGAAAAATATCACTTTCAGATGATGCACTACTTTGATTATCCAACTGATCTGAAAGAGATGTTATATCATAAATACTTGTGGACACGTTACCAATGTTTTTATTTTCAATATTAGCATCAGAGCTTATGGGATGATTTTGAAAACTATTGGCAGAATAATTTACTTTTGGTTCTTGGGGAGTTGTATCTGTCGAAGCTAATGTAGAGCTGTTGGTAAGAAACATATCAGAAGAGTTAATACCCGAAAAAAACCAATCTAATAAACTTAATGACAATAGATTATTCTGACTAGGCGTGTATAAATCTTTGTCCAATGAAATATTCAAGTTCGTGCTTAAAGAAAAATTAAATTCTGCTGGCAGTGTAGTATCAGAAGTAACAGTATAAATGTCTGTGATATTATTTCTCAGATCTTCTGGGTCTGCAAAATATGTTGATGTTTTCTCAATTAAGCTGCTATTTAGGTTAACGTTTGAACCGTACATGTACTCATATACATTTTTGATGTGTGGCGGTGGAATATTTTCACTTTGGCTTACAGAGTTATTATAGTGTGCGCTTATTTTATTCTCAGTGTTAAATGTATTTTGTATCGTTGTGTTTTTGCTAGCGTGATTGTTGATTATGAAGGCTGATGAAAAACTACTCGTTAGATTTTCGTTTTCCATATCAAAATCATCATAAAGATCACTTACAAACACTCCATTGTTAACTCCCTGAGAAACCTTCGTTACCGTCTGCGTCGAGTTGTAAATCACAGTAAAATTTATGGAATTTGGTAAGATATGATAGGAATTAATGCTGTCACTCATTTGAGTTCCATTTCCTCCATTGGCATTATCTTGAACGTGTATGTATTGAACTAAATTAACATTTTCATATCCATCAGATAATGACTGAGGTTTACCGTCAGTATGAACATTCACGTCTGAAAAAGACGTATCGTGTTCAGTTACATTTATTTTCTTAATTTTGTAGGTTTCAAGCGAGGAAATATATTCTTCTGGATAAATAACGGAGCTGCTTTCATTCTGGATGGAGAAACTGACAGTATGCTTATTTTCTGTATCATTATTTACATTATTATAAGGCGAAGAAGTGTCTGTTTTAGTAATACTATTTTCTGCGTCAGATTCTAAAACTGCTGCTAATTTGTTTTTTTCAAATTTATTTGAGGTGTAAAGTTTTACAGTTGTAGTCTCCAATATTGTTTTATTTTGAAAAGCATCACTGAAAGCAACTGTAGAAATATTTGATAAGGTGTTGTAACTAACAGATATGCTTTCATTTTGTTTATCAAAAGTATTGTAAGGCTCTGTTGTCCTATTAAATTCGTTCTGACTTTGATTTATTGTTACCTTAGGTGAAATGGTCTGAGTTTCTATCCACACTTTCACTGTAGCAGGATTAGTTAAATCTTCAGAAGTTAGCTGAGATAACAAAGACTGAAAACTTGAAGGTAGCACTGGATCTATGTTCTCTTGCCATATATATGTGACAGCTCCATTAGTTGTTAGTCTTTTATCAAATTCAATATTGCTGATTTTACTTTCAAGTGGAATTGCAGTTTTGCTGCTTGCCGTTGCTTCCTGCATTTCTGTTTTAACAACTTCAGCAGATAGCACAAAATCATTTGATGTCGTACTCGATGAATTTTCATCCGCTTTAACATTACTTTCGAGGTCAATAAAATTGGTCGAAATGCTTTCGGAAGTAAAAAGGTGAACTTGTAATTCGCTGCTTTGCATGGATTCAGATTGCGGCAGTGTATAACCAGAATCATCAAAATCTTTGTGCACTATGCTGTTTTCCTGATCGTAATCATAAATACTAGTTTGATTATTTTTGTGTGGCTTAATTTCATACTCGTAATACCCGTTAGAAATATTTTTGTTGTATGGTTCGTTAACAGTCACATTTAAAATATCGTTCTCAATGTCTGCTTCTTTTTGTGAATTTGGATACATTGTATACATATCCATATTAGATGCTATGTGACTAATACTATGTTCAGATGAATTGGTGTCCATGAAATAAGTTATATTGTATTCTAAATCGGGAGTTAATTGAGAAACTTCAGATTCGAATTGTGTATAATTTACAGAACTTTTTCCAAAATACTCTGACAGATCATGTGATGAACCTAATGAATTTCTTTCAGCTGTAAAATCTATTGAAGAATTATATACATTGTGTGAATTATCATCGTTGTTTTCTTTGGTGATAATATCGAATGAAGTGAAACTAATTTTAAATGTACTATCCCTTTCTTCGTTTAATGATGCATTTATATTTTGCAGCATAAGTCCACCATATTCATCATCAATCAAAACCGATGAATTATTGTAATTTAAAAACTTTTCGCTTATTGTCGTTAAACTTTGTGAATTGTCTGGTAATTTTCCTGAAGTAATGCTGATATTTTGTAAATCAGCAAATTTAGTACTGGATAAATCGCTAGGTGTTACTATACTTTGGAAATCTAGTATTGTATTGGCGGTATCTGCTTGGTCATAAATGCCGTTCTCAGATAAAGGATCATTCGTAAATTTTTGCAGCGAATCATCCTTTACTTTACAACAAGCTCCAAACAGGAATCCATCAGCACAGGTAGATAATGTTATGCCTTTTAAACTGATGCAGTCCCATTTGAACATGCATATTCCAATGTTTCCAGCGCTGTCTTGACAGGATTTTCTCGTCATTGTCATGCGTCTTCCTAAAAAAGGGCATGAATGCACTTTAATTCTATGCAATTATTTATTTATTTATATTTATAGAGGAATATAAATTAAAAGTGATCAATAGATGTAACATTATAACATATGTGTCATCTGGAACAGAAAAGTAAGAAAAAATGCTTATTTCGGTGCTTACGTTAGGATAAATTTCCGTCGTCAGGTATTTTATATTTAATTTATATCAAATTTTTGTAACTATTGGTTTAAAACTTAATAGAAAATGCCTCAAAATTTAGATTCAGAAAAAGGTTTGCATTCTTTTATATTACTTGCATCATTTTAATTGTTCACACAAAATTTTGAAATGAAGTTACATAATTGGTTACTTACAAAATGAAGTTACTTAGAAAATTTGAATGCTTTTGAAAAGTCACTTAATTTTTTTTAATCTTGTAATTTTTACACGAAAAAAAGGTATCACAATAATATATTAAGTTATGAAGTTATCTTTTTCCTTCGTGCAAGCTCTCGTAATGTAACTGATAACACGTCCGCAAGATAGGTCTGTGGTTCACATCTCGGCGGAAGAATAACTGATTTTTTGTGTCTTCTTGTTCCGAAACGTAATAACTCTAAATCACAAAATAAAACTGAAGCTTAATTTTTAAGTTGCTTTTACACCAATGATATATATTCCAGTGATACCAATGATTAAAATGATACAGATTCTTGTGTATCGAAGCATATAGCCATCGTGTGCTTTACTTATAACCCCAGAAATCCCTCCAATCTTGTACATCGAATATTCTATAAACCTGGTCTTATGTGTGCATATTCAAGAAGTTTAACATTGTTGCTTTTAGGAATCATTATTATAGTATTCGTTTTTATTCTGCTTGGAACAGATACAAAGTTGTTTACTGATGGACTTGTGATTGTTAACTTAAGTCTACAAAATCACCATTTTAAACAAATGCCTTCATTATCAGCAGCAATTTTAAGCTTTAGAAAAAGGAAGACATATTTCGTTGTTGCGTGAACAAAAATAATGAGTAACTGTTACAGTTTTTATTTACATATGTTTCATTTCAAAGGGTGGGGTGTTCTTTTACTTAAAATACAGTAGTGTTCACATATCTGCGGGCAGTAAGTTCAACGACATACCGCTGATAAAGGAAAATGCCTATATTAAACAGGATAATCGCGGATCATACTTAAATACGGACAAGTTTAATTGATAAATTATGAACTCTAACTCATCATCAGCTTTAAATAAATAATGATGAAGTGTACTCTAATTTACACTGCATTATATTCTGTACTACTTAAAAAAAACACAAAATCGATTGTATATTTCATCAGGTTTTCTTTCTGTTTCTCTGAATGATATTTTAGCCTAACTTACGATATATGAGTAAGAAATGAAGGAAAGAAGTATCTGAATCATACTATAATGCGCTGATTCAACAAATGACAGAAATAAAAGGCATTCTTTTTCCGACAATACAATGGAAAACGTAACGTAGTAGTTAGTGTGGCGCTAGTGAAAAGAGGCAAAGTTCTAGGAGCGACGAACATGGACAAGGAATTGTGCTGGTAGGTTATTTGACTATAACAAAATACATGAGCGCCACCTGCCTAAAGGAAGGAGGACTTCGTGGAGGACTTTCAAAAGGAAACGAGCTCGTATTTACATTACATATGAGGAAAACCATGAAAACTAAATGTGCAACCAGCTCGTCCATCTGGGCTTAAACCTGGGTCGATCTACCATCATTCAGCAGTTTTAACTATTCGTGCTCTCAATACGGGTAATGAATTAAAGACAGATGAGTCAAATTCTCCGATAGTTGATAACCACAATCCCCTGCGAAAACACTTACAAAGATCAAGTAGTATATAAGTCAAGAAATGCACCAGTTTGAGGATTGATATGTAAGCTAAGAATATTCATACTTAAGACAAAGTAACACGCCGAATAAATACTAATTCAGAAGTCAAACAACAAAAATCAGCGTTATATTTACAAAATTTTTTTACAATCTCTTTTACAAAACTGAAACTCTGTAATTCTGCATTTATGAATGCACACCCTAAAAGCTACAAAGAATACCTATGTGATCCAAGAAAAATTATCAAAAAGTTTGATATTAATAAAAATTCTGAAATATAATAATGAAAACCTTTATACGCATGTGGCAGGTATTATTAACCAGAGGTTTAACAGTTAGATTTTAAACAAAATCTCCTTATCTTGCACTGAAGAAAACAATGTTTACTACACTTTAAAAATTCACATTACTGAACGTAACCCATTCATTACAATAAAAATAAACTCACACAAAAATACTAGAAAAATGCCAGTTCTTCAAAAATTACCGATGCCATACGATGACCATCTGAGGAGATAAAACAAGTATTTGGAAGCGTTTTTTTCTCAGTTAATAATTGCAGTTAACATAGGAACTATGAAAATTTAAAAATCGATGCTAAAGTTATAAGGTGTTTTCTCCCTCCTTTCTGCATGTCTCCGTGGTGTAACAGTAGCACACTCGGCGTGTATTCGAGAAGTCCATGTTCGACTTGCTCATTTTTCATGTCTCATGCTTTAATCTAAAGACTCTACAGTGGCGCCCGAACTAAAAGGTGATGGATGATGATTCTTCATCACCAGGAATTGGCGACTGGGTTTCCCAATCCCAGTTGCCCTTTAAAAGGGGGAATATATAAGGTTTTCTCCTTCCAGCATACCTTCGTGGTGTAACTAGAAACACACGCGTATTCGAGAGGTCCAGGTTCGAGTGCCGGCGAAGGCATTGCTCATTTTTCATATCTCCTGCTTTCAAAATAATCTAATGACTCTACAAAGTCACTTTCTATAGTAGCATTAATTGATAAAATTATCAGTATAAGAAAAAATCGCAACCATTTGTGTTTGTCAGATTTATTCATAGTTTACCTTAATAGTTTCTGAAATTTCACGCTGTGTTGCTCTGAAAAGTTCTTCATTTTATTGAAATTTTGCTTCTGCTGGATTCTTTAAATTTAAAAAAAAATTTCTCGATTAAATTTTTATTAACTGGATAAAATTTTAAAATTTAATTTTTGGTATCTGAGTTCAAATGTTTAATGCTTGCTCATAGCCAACAGTAGCATATTGTTTCCACTAAACCATAAGCAAAGATAGAACACCCCAACCCGATTCATTTAAAAAATTAAAGGATTAAGTACTGCTAAATATTGAAAATCTTGTTTCGTGTGAAGCACTAATAAAACTGTTTTGAATACACTTAATCCTTCAATATTTTTGATAAATACTAAAACTTGAATAAAAGTAGTTTTTCATATTCATAAACTAAAACTAAACACTTAGTAGGTAAATTAAAGATTAACCGCCTTCTTCTACCCTAGAGCTATGAAATCCCCTCATGAGGAATTCTACCTTGGTTGGGAACTTTTGTTCTAATACATTAAAAATATCTAACTGTTTATCAGAGCTTTTTAATTCTTTGACACAATGTGCATGATACCTAAGCTTAAAGTAAAACTATATTTATCTTTAAAAAAAAAAAACCATGGCTGTGCAACTGGCACTTAACACTGAATAGTTTTTCCAACCTTTTCTCTCGTTATTCGTCATTTTGAGTATTTTGAAACTGATAACGGAAGCCCTTATGATGTGTACATAAATTGTCCCAAGTCAGCAAATATTGTTGACCTATACATAAAATAACAGGATTCCAAGCGTTGAGCGGCACCTACGTCAAACTTCAGTGCCTCAGGTCGTGCTTTCTAGCTCTCAATTCGTTATGACGTCACAGACTTTCACCAGACTGCCTTCGTTCCCACCAGGAAGTAGTTTAATCAGTTTGAATTCAAGTTCAGCAATGCCGTTCGCGAAATTTATAGCTGAAGGCTGTACGGAGCGTATGCATGTGTTTCAGTTTTGGAATGCACGTTTGATTATTCTTTACGAATCAAAGGTGGGGCCAAAAATACGCTTTCTTGCTCAAGCGGCGTATTTTTTAATTTTTGTGTTGCTATTTATGAAATCTATTGCACCGTGATCTCATATTAAATATTCGAAATCTGGTGCAAATGGGCTGTAACACTCGAAAAGCAGACTTCTTGCTCTTTTGTTATGTACTGTTTTTGTTATGTATTTGTTTGTATGGATGTTAGTGTACTAGAAGGAAGAACGGTTTCAGCAAGTTAAAACTATGAAAATTATAAACTCATAAATAGAGCGACCAAATTCCGTTGTAAATCTATAAATTTGCCAGTCTTCTTTAATTTCAGTTTCATACTAATAAGCATCTACAGCTACAGTTTTCAGAAATACATGTGCAATTAATATGTAGGTTAAATAAGGCAAAGCAACTCAAGTGCTATCTGCCTAAGGAAGGGATGCCTTCGTTGAGGACGTTTTGAAGGAAACTACTTCGTATTTACATTACAAATGGGAAAAACCGACGTGCAGCAAGTCCAGTATTAAGATTTGCCCCGCCTTGAACTAATAATACCAGCAACCTTACCGTTCGGCCAAGGATGGGCTTCCCGTGTATTGTATTCACATATTTATTATTTCGTCTGAAAAGACTAAAGTAGTTACCAGGCCAGTGCCTCTCTCTGCACACGTGTTACATTTTAATGTATATTAATAATTATAGTATTTCAGCTCTTTCCGTAAAATCTGCAGTAAATTTAAAATTATATTTTTAACTGAAACAACTATAGACCTTATGGCGGTTTATGGAGTCCGCCAATGCTCGAAAAATTCGAAACAGTTGAATTAATTGAATTCGCCACCGAAGAACATTTTTGCGACCAGGTAAATTCACTCCCACGACACGGATGAAAGTTGTATCCTTGACGCTCTTCCAAGGACTTGCACAGCACTTCTGACTCGAAATTAAATCTTCGAAATCTGGTGCAAGTGGGCTTTAACACTCGAAAAGCAGACTTCTTGCTCTTTTCTACTAGAAGGAAGAACGGTTTCAGCAAGCTGAAACTATGAAAATTATAAACTCATAAATGTGCTTTTGGCGGCATCCACAAAGACGCCTGGGGTCCCCACCTCTCCCGGCTCCCGGAATTGTGTCTTGACAATTAAAATCTCCCGGCTCCTGGAGGGAATTTAAAATAAATATTACTCTCCCAGAATATCAAGTTTTTCGAAAATAACGACACAATGTGCACGGACGAAATGATTGAGAGCATCGAAAATCACACGACCGCGCACAGCAGCCAAAGAACGTCTATGTCAATATATATTCTTTTTACAGCAGCGATCTACGGTGAGCGGTGAGTAAGCACCTTACAGGATGAGTAGTGGTTTCATGACGGCGTATCGCGCGCACGCGCCCTCATCTCCCGTCACCCTCTCATTTTCAATCCCTTCTTTCATTTAGTCTGCTAGCTATCCACAAACAAGTGCGTATTTTGAAATTATTTAAATGCTTTCATAATACTGTCTAATGAAAAAAATGATTCTGATTCTGCAAGTGAACAAGTGCCACAAAGACAAAATATTCGACGTCGTTTCGAGACTCAATTTGATTAGCTTATGAAGAGAGACAACTTTAACGGAGAGTGTAGTGTATGTAGGAAAATGGTTAATATTAAGTACAAGGATGTTAGAGTTTTAAGTGGACATTCCCAAAGCAAGAAACACCAGTCGTTAATATTGAATAGGGATTCATCGCAATCGGTTTCGAACGTTTTCGTGAAGAAATCTTCAGATATCGGCAATTGATATCGGCAAAAACAATATATCGGCAATTGAAATTACTTCAGTCTATCATAGGATTAAGCACCATCACACGTTTAATAGTCAGGATTGCACAAATTGTTATAGCTCTCTATTTCCAGATTCTTCTTTGGCAAAAACGATTTCTTGTGGTAGAACAAAATGTACAAGAATTTGCGAGAGTGTGCTAGCTCCTGCAGCTCAAAAAATACTTTTAAACGAGATTAAGGAGGAAGAGTTTTTTTTCAGTTACGACTGAAAAAAAAATCCCGGAAACTTTTTTTCCTCTCCCGGATTAAGGAGGAAGAGTTTTTTTTCAGTTACGACTGAAAAAAAAATCACGGAAACTTTTTTTCCTCTCCCGGATTTTGACATCCAAGAGGTGACAACGCTAAGCACGCCTCCGCTGAAACGCCGACGGACACGGACCAAGGCGTTTTGGTTAAGGTGTAACTAGATGACTTTGCAAATTAGCCATAATCAACCGCTCCGCGGCCACCACAGCATCACCAGTTATTTCTGCAAATAGAAATGAATTTAATAACTTTGTGAAGCCTATACAAGGTCAGATCGTAATTAAAAGTGCTTATGGTACTCAGGTCTTTATGACCAGGTCGAATATTTGAATATAACTAATTCTTAAAATACAAACTATCCAGTCGCCGTATTGCGCAGCTTATTGTACTAGAGCAAGCTGAATGAGAGAAGCCGGGGATGCTAGGTTCAAATCTCAGATAGAGTTCATATTTTCACGAGCTGAATGTAAATATGAGCTTTGCAAAATTCTGAATAGAGAAATGAAATTTGTTTGCTTTGGCTATTCGTATTTTACGCAGCTCTCATGCACAATGAAAGTGATAAGAAATAATGCGTCGAGTCATTTAGAATTTTCCGATATGAGGAAACTGAAGAAATCCATAATGCCCTTGCCGGAATTCGAAATCCATACCTTCCGCGCACGCGTCGAGTGTGCTTCCAGTTAAACTACGAACGCATGCCGGAAGGGATAAAAAGAAATACCTTATATAACTCCCACTTTTAAAGGGCAACTGGAGAGTAGGGGACCCAATTACCACATCTGGGTGATGACGAATTATCGTCCACAAGCTTCTTTTAGTTCGGACGCCATTTGTAGAGTGATTTAGAATTTTCAGGTGACATAAACTGAAGAAATACGCAATGTCCTTCCCGAGATTAGAAATTCGAACCTCCCGAATACGTGTCGAGCGTGCTTCCAGTTACACCATGAAAGTATACGGAAAGGAGAGAGGAAATGCCTTGAATGTATGCAAAACATATATATTATAATTCCTTAAGAAATTAGACAACAGGTCCTTAATATAACCAGCCAATATTCATAAAATTTAAGTGGCTAATTACTGCACTTGAGGTGAATATAACCCCAAGATAAATTTCATTTTTTTTAAATCTAAAAATGAGACAACTTGGGACTTTGAAAACTGCTTCTCTTCATCCAATAATTTATTGCAATAAAGTGCGCTAGAGAAAAAAAGAAAACCTGAGTCCGTATCTGATTTATTTTAGTACTCATTTTTTTAAACTCGTGTCGGTCGAACAGCAAAATTAATATTTAAAAATGTTTTCGTGTCCTATTTATTTAATTATTATCCATTTTTTTATCATTATTAAAACGAAAGTCTTTAAGGTAATTGCGTTTAGTGCTACTTCTTTCAGAAAAATTGAATACGTTTTCAAAAATTTAATAGTATTTTCTTCCTCCCTCTCTTTTCTTTTGTATTGTAACAACATCTAAGCACTGAAATGTTATTATATCTTTTGGCTCTTACAATTATAACTTTTACCTTAATCAAGACGAATGCGCGAAAAACAAATAAGGTTTAACTAGCAAGATATTCAACTGATTTAAATTTTCTGAACTTCCACAAGTTTTATGAGTAGAAAATTGTTTACAGCCGCCCAACCGGTATAGTGGTTAGCGTCGCTGACTGCTGTGCCAAAGGGCCCATGTTTCGAATCCCAGAGAAGGCATGAATGTTTATAAATGTATAGTGCCGGCGCGGCACTCTAGATATAAGGCGAGCCAAAAGTCTTGTCGTGTGGTATGGTGGAAGGGGAAAGGGGAGACCCTAGGACCCGTGACCCCGAGGTGCTCTCCATCAAAATTGGGGGGCGGAACTGAGTCAAATCGCACTGTCACCCGTTAGGTGCTCAAGGCTGTTGCCAACGAAAGGCGTAATCTTGCGCTTCTTGCCACGAGGAATTTCGTGGGCTTTGACTGTTCGATCTGGGTTTCAGCCTAGGAGAATGGGGTTGGCTGCTATGGGCTTTCGTCTATTTCCCCATTTATAACGTGAATGCGAGGCCATTTCCTTCATAAAGTGTTCCACGAAGGCATCCCTTCCCTTAGGCATATAACTGCAATGTTCTTTTCAAGATTCTAATAATCTAACGGCAACAAATACAAATAAAAATTTCAGTAATCTGTCACTAGAAGTTTTGCTCACATATCAACAACGTGACTGTTGCTAATGGTGAATACTTATAAATATTACATGACCAATTGGGATAAGCCTTCCCCCCCCGCCCATATTTAGAAATATGCTTCAGCTATAGAATGCAAATATTTAATTAAGTCAATAAGATTTACAAGCGCATGATAAATAAGATTTATACGCTCTCTCAACGCTCATGTTTAATTGCTCTTTATTTCTTGTATATTTTTTGTTATTTAACTTTGTCTACTTATCATTTACAAGAAGTAAATAAAGTTTCTTTTTATATGAAATTTAACTAGATATAAAGATTAAACTTTAACACGAGTATTCGATTTTACGATTTTAACTCAAAATTTGCTTTTACACATTATACGTTGTGGATTTCAATGTAATTTGGTCAACCATTTTATTTCTAACACTTCCAGATAAAACGTGTACATTAATTTCTAAAAATGTTTTTCAACACAAACTTTGGAAATTCCCATCAACGAATCTAAAATACTTTTCCAGTTTTTAAATGGTACTTAGCTATATCAATTAAGCTAAATTTTTCCAGTTTAAAACACTCAAATTCTTGAAAATTAGCCATAATTGGCGCTAGACAAATTTTTAATTTATTTACATAATCTAAATACTTTCTCAAAAATGTCTAAATTATTACATCATCTATGATGTTTCATATGTGAAAATAAGAAACGAGTTCTAATTTCTACGATTAATGCACATTTTCAAGGAACTAAATTGATGGTATTAATTACTTTAAACAAACAGTATCATAATTTAAACAATTTTAGTTTCGTTACGTTTGTATATAGAATAATTTCTAATGATTATCTATTAAAACACGAAGCAGTACCATCGAAATCTCAGTAACAAATATGATGCTAAGGATTAATTAATAAATATCATGACAATCTCCATTTCATTAATAAATACTCATCAGTATATACGCTGATATTAATATTATTTCATCTTGGCTAGTTCAGGAGCATTTAGAAATCTGATGATCAAAACAAAAACAAAAATCCATCTGGAAATTTAACTATTATGGATCGATTATAGGTCAATTATATTCCGTGAAAAGGTGTATAAATAATATTTGATATTATACATAAAAGCTACAAGAATCAAACTGTATAGTTAACTTCAGCAACTATTTGCGATACGACAGTACAGAATTCCTCGTAATTCCAACACACTACAGAATTTTAACAGAATCTGCTCAAAGTGATCTATTTTGTTTAAAATACACAATTCTAGTCGATGCCGCTTCTCCAATAACACAAAAATGACAGTAGGATCAATCTCAGATCAAAAGGAACAAGCTTCTTCCAGTACGCTGAAGACCAATTAAATTCTCGATTTATGAGTTCGAAATTAGTATGAATAACTGCACGGATAAAAAAATCAAAAGTGTCAGGCTTTAAGAAGGCCATTTAATATTCCTTTAGTGATTTGCCCAGCATTTTGAAAATTGAACATCAAGGACATATAGAGGATGCTGTATTAAGGGGATAACTTGTATTTTCGGTATAGATGATAAGCTAGCTGCTCACATAGTGTATCACAAAAACTGACTTTAAAACGCTGTAATTGCTAAAGAATATACCATTAATTCATGTAAAGAAAAAAGTTGCTTACCTGGGATATGGGATTTCCGATGGGGCGAAAGAGGATGAGTCCAGCCAGAGTATACCAGAAAGAAAAACAAGCCAGTTATTAAAACGGGCTTTATAGTCGCATGTATAATCATCGTAAACTAGAAGTTGATTGCTGGAAAAGCGAAATCTAATTAAATGTCAGTGATTTTACTATGAAGAAAGTCACAAAAGTTCTAAATTAAATTTCATTTATATAATTTGCGTAAACTAGTATATTTTTCAATATAAAGACTACGGATTTATGGAGACAAAATATAAACTTTTCTCAAGATTTCAATGCATATATTATTAACATTAGAAAATAATTCAGATTCAAAACCGAATAAATTTCGATTTTCTTGTCAAGTATTTTTGTAAATACGTTGAGCAGGTTTCTATATTTCAGGTTACATAATTTTCGCCATGTTTCACAATGCACACTATAAATAAAGATTTTAATAAGCATAATGCCTAGAACGAATGTAGTTTTATTTCTAGAACCAACTTTTAAAACAAACAATACAGAACGAATGGTTAACACTTCAGCTGGATTGGTATATACATTATGAAGTTATTTTTTTTTCAATCGAACAGCGGGCTCTTGTTTTTTTTTTTTTTTTTTTTTTTTTTTCCCCGACTTAGCCACTCCTAAGTGGCAGTCGGCTCCCCTAACCACTATACCATCTGGGCGGCAGTTATAGTAATGAGATCTCCTTACTAATATGTTAATTAACTTTATTTTTTGTAAGAGCCTCAGGATTAGATAGCAGTTCTAGTCCTTATTCAGCAGCGACTAAAGATGCTTCTGGGTGGTTTGAGAAAACTATATAATCACGCCAGTGAGTTAACCAGAAGCACGCACAACTGGCGGCATCGATTGCATTACATTTCCAGATGAATAGCGCGAAGTGTTTTCGTGTTTGAAAGAGCTTCCATAGATTGATTTGAAGAAGGCAAAGGACACGAAGAAAAATTTCTGGACGCCATGCGCAAGCAGTGCCGAGGGAGAATTTTCATTTCATCAAGATGACTTTAGCTGAGCGTTCTGCATCATCGACAGTCAGACCCAGCAACGGCGAACGGCAGCATATTCACCAAAATCATCTTTAGCAGCAAGTCATAGTTTATTACCGCTCCGGCATTACGGCGCATCTACTGCTTCTCAGGTTCTCCTTGGCATATCAACAATGTGTTGCCAGACTGTTATGGTGCATCGTACGTCGCATGTAGCAAACTATTATTAAACTAAAGCGTAATTATTAAAGAAGACGCAAAACAACGCCTTCTTTAATAATTACAGTTTCGTTTAGGCGAAAATAATGATCCCCTATTTGTCCACTTCAGACGGAATGAAATACACAAAGAAGATTTAATTAATAGTAGGTACGCCATGCTAACAAGAAGTTATCTTGCATGTGTCGCTCACCTGTCATAAGAATTCACGCCACGCTTATGAGAGCTCGATATATCAATAACATTCTACAACTAGTCGCACTTCATTTTTGCAGCGTCTTTCTAGAGTTTTCACCAACACATTTTTACTGCTCATAATGCAGCTAGAACGCAAGTCTTCGTAAGAGTTCAGACTGTCCCTCTTTCCACTTCTTCCTTTAGCCGCCTAAATCACTTGATTTATGGACCATCGAAAATATGTAAGACGTGGCCAAACCAAGAAGGCTGCATTATAAAGATCATCTATCAAATTTTGATGGACTATGTTCGGGGTTATTGCATCTTGAATGGCTATTCCCCCGGTGTACGGAGCAAGAAATACAAAAAACGTGGCACAGTTAATATAGTGTACTAAGTCCGTTGACATCATATGTAACAGGTATTGCTTTGAAATGCTAACCATTTGTTCTATATATTGCCTTAAAGATATTCTGTTTTTAAGAACAGTAGCCCACCAGCGGCCGAGCGGTAAAGTCGCTGAACACTGACAATTCGGTCCGAGGTTCGAATCCAGCGAACGGGCTGTCTGCAAGGGCGTTTTCGTGGTTTTCCCCATGTGTAACGTGTATACGAGTCAGTTCCCTTAGAAAGTCCTCCGCGAAGGCATCCCTCCCCGTAGGCAGATAGCCCTCGAGGCTTTGCCATAATCACACACACATTAAGAACAGTAATTTATATTTTCTAAGCATCGAGAACTATTAGGAATTCATCCACTCTCCAAGCATTGAAAATCCTTCAATTTATGTAAAAAGGAGTTTAAAATATATCCTTTGTCTAAAAAGGTGTTGATTGGTGGTTAATTGATTAAGGCAAACCACGTGAAAGGGCTCTATCTGAAGAGAAACGGGATTCCATAGCAAACAGGTCCATGTAAAGCATTATACATGGGGAAAATCCCGGAAAATACCCATGCATTCAGCCTGTTTGTAATGATCTGAACTCAGGTTGAACTATCTACTCGCCCACTGTTTTGCCATTTAAATTGAGGAACAAGGATGACAGTAAGCAAGCAAAAAACGAGAAGTTTTATAATGATATAAAAAAACTTATGTATGATTTTATGCCTTAATTAAGGAGATCTTTTTGTATTTGATTAATGAATTAGGGTATTAAACAATGCTCAAATATAAATTAAAAAGAGTTTTAAAATTTTGCTAGCAAAAATGGACATTTGGCTGAAGAATTCAGTTTCATCTTCCCTCCCTCACGGTCCAAACCTTACATTTCTGTTATCATATATGACGGAAAAGGGCACACATTTGGCATAATAAAACAGATCCGGATGTTCTACAAGGAGCCACAATTATTTCAAACTTAGTTTATATGCCATGCGTATGAGCATATTGAATTCAATTATTTCTTAAAACAATAAAATTGAAAAATGCATCCACCTACGTGGATTAAGCAGAAAATAAAGACATAAGGCTAGTGCGTGGAACAGTGTGAGTGTCACGGTACAGTGAATGTAGTATGACAGTGTGGCAATGAAGACCAGCATTGAACTTACGGTCGAAATAAAATGTTTACAATTTTACTCACGTAAAAGAATTTTCGTATATTATAACCTTAATTTAAGCTGTTTTATATCGTGAGTTCATCAGAATAAATACTACATGCTTGCCATTTTTAACACAACTAAAATGACCATGAGATGAAAAAAATTTCTGAGAAAGATTTAAGACATAAAGTATAAATCTGCAGCTATCTCTCTTATAGACAGTAAACTGTACTTTTTTTAAAGGAGTAGAAATTTCATACGATTAAATATATTTCATTAATTATTTAGTTATTTATTTAATAACATCACAGTACATAGGACTATCTTCGAACGTTACGATGATTTTGTGGAAAACATTTTAAAGGCAACTGTTACACATGAGGCAAAACATGAAATTCTTGTGCAATCGCCAGAAGTAGAAACGGAGGCAAACTGCAAATGTTTTGTGGCTTTAGTCATTTGTTCATTCGACGCTAGTAGTTAATAAAATATGTTTACGCAAAATAAGCAAATTCTAAATTGATTTATATTCATTTCTTGCTAAGTTTATAAATCATGTGCAGATATTGTGCCTAAACTAGCTTGGATCTTTCCTAGTTAAAAAACAAGTTGGAAATTTCTACTCAAGCTCTGTAAGCGATAAGCACTAAGCAATTGAATAAATTAATAATAGTAACAAATTAATAGCAAGGAAAAAGATTTTTGCTACGAATTCGAACATTCAAACATTTTTTAAGTGAACGGAAATAAACTAAATATAATATAATTAAGGTGACCATACGTCCCGAATTTCCCGGAACAATTCTGAATTTTCAGTCTCTATCCCGATTTCTTGGAACTCGTTTTTTGGTCCCGAATTTACAGCCTTTGTCCCGAATTTTTCCGAAAAACAGTAGCGTGAAAACGTAAAAGTTTAAATGTGTACATTTATTTAAGAAATGTAGATTGCAAACTGAGAATATAAACGTACGTTAAGAGACGCGCACCATATCAGCCGCATTTAGAGGAGATGTCCCATCTAACGTTTATCTTAGAAAAATTGTAGTGAGTTTTATTTCTCATTCCTGTATTTCTCTCCCCAACCCCTAACATAACCGGAATTTTAGCTCACAGCTCACAGTTGTAGTTCAGACAACACTGCAATTTTCAACCGATATATTAATTCGTGTGTGTATTTAATTATGGCAAAGCACACTAGGGCTATCTGCCTAAGGGGAGGGATGCCTTCGTGGAGAACTTTCTAAGGGAAACTGGCTCGTATACACGTTACACATGGGGAAAACCACGAAAACGCCCATGCAGCCAGCTCGTTCGCGGGATTCGAACCTCGGACCGAACTACCAGTGTTCAGCGACTTTACCGCTCGGCCGCTGGTGGGCCTGTATATTAATTCGATTGTGATTTGAATTCATAATATATGCATATATTTTTTTTAATTATCAGTGGTGCATTTCATACGTGTCCAATGGTGCATTACATTATGTTTGTATGTAATGCACATACAAACATGTAATTAAATGGCATCTAAAAATAATTTGTTTACCATTTGCTGAAATTTCATTGTAGATATAATCTGTCTAAAATCATCTTTCTTTTGTCACCTTTAGATAGTAAAATTTTTACTCCATCATCATTTTGATTTGGCATAAGGGTTAAATTTTTTTTAAAAATCTTCTAAAACGATGACGTGTAATGACGTTACCCGTTTGGCAAAGACATATATTTTTTAACTATAAATGATGCCTTACATATGTGTTAAGGATATGTTTTACTGGCGTTTAGTTTAATTTACTATTTATTTTTATCATTGATTTTTTTTAGTAATGGTTTTCAAAAAAAAGAAAGAAAGTGCATATTTGACGAAGACTTACAAAAGGAATACCAATTTAAAAAAAACTATAAGAGATTCCAATTTACGGTGCAATACATGTTCTTCAAAATTTTCAATAAGCTACAGTTGGACGCACAGATATTCAACTTCATACAGTAAAAAGTAATAAACATAAAATTTCAAACTCTGCTGCTACATCTAGCTGGGCATTAAAGAATTTCTTCAAACAAGAGAAAATGAGCGGTAAGGAAGAAGAATTATCTGCAGTAGAAAGTACTCTTGCATACGATACTACTTGCACAACCATAGCTTTAGGTCTATGGATTATCCTCACAAGCTGCTTCAAGTGGCATTTGAGCCTAAATTTACATTTGCGCAAACCAAAGTCGAAGCAATAATACTAAATGTTTTTATACTTTACGCTTTAAGAGCTTTGCACAATGATTTGGAAAAATGCTCATTTGTTTCAATCTTAACTGATGCGTCGAACCACAAGGAAATGAAACTTTTTTTCAATACTTGCTAGATTTTATAGACTGGCATTAGTGTAAAAATTGTAGAATTTAAATATTTACCTGGTGAAGCATCCGATATTGTCAGCAACTATTTAACTATTTGTCTTAAATAAAATAATTTAAAGGAAAAGTTATTGTTCTTTGTTCTGATGATATGAATTCTGACTTTGAAGGAGGTGATAACTATGAACGAAGAAAATAATGTTTTTGTTAAACTAAAACGAAACGTTAACCATGGTTTAATTGGAGTTGGATGTGCAGTACATATTATCCATAACAGTATAAGAACATCAGCTGCTGTTTTGTCAGTTGATATAGAAATGATTATTTCTAAGATATATTTTAAATATTATACTTGTAAAAACATTGAAAGACTTCTGCACCTTCGTATAAATTGACTTTTTAATGATACTAGGGTATTCACAAAAAAAGTAGTTAACATTACTTCCCGCCACAGAAAGGGTACTCCAAATGTTTTTAAAACTGAAGGCTTATTTTCAATCTAAAAAAAAATATCCCATGCTTATTTTAAAATTCTTTGAAATCCAGTGGCAGAAGCTTGGCTTAATTTTATTAACACTTAGACTTCAATATTTAATAAAGTTATTACAACAACTGAAAATAAAACTGCGTCTGCATTTGATGCAATTGCTTCAATGGATACTCTGAAAGCTGAATATTGGACAAGATAGAGGATAACCTCACTCCAGAAAAGCTTAAACAGAATGGAAACGTATCACAATACAAAGTTACTGAATTTTGAGAAACTATTGTTTCCTTTTATTAGTTTTTCTTTTGTCTTCCTGGTATTAATACTGCAACTGAGCGAATATCTAGCATTATGAACAGTTCTTGGACTAGTGATAAGACACAGCTTAAAGTGGATACTTTAAAGGGTATATTAATAACCAAAATAAATTTTTATGAAAGCTGCATAAACTTTTATAAGAAAATCAAAAAAGGAAAAGTTGTTCCAAGGCATATTCATGCTTCAGAGAAATATATAGTTTCATCAAAATCCTTTAGAATGGATACAAATTTATTATTTGGCTTAAAAATGAATACTGCGTTTTGATTTATTCTTCTTTTATTAAAAAAGGAAACAATACTAATAAATATATATATTGATTTACATACCATCTCCACTACAATAGAAATAATAATAAAATAATTTATTTGTAAAAAATATTAAAAATATTATATATTTCTTCGAATTTTGAACTTCAAAATCTGGTCACCTTAAGCATAATGCATCATATTTTTATTACATATCTAAAATATATTTTATTATAGCTTAATATTATGTCTTCAGTACACTCTAAATTTTATTTGGAATCATAAATATGTGTCTGTTTAGTTGCTTTGTTGTATAAGATTTGAAATATATTGAGTCTTATAAGACGTAATTTTGTAAGTCATTTTTTTATTCTTGGGAAACGATGGGGGTTCTCAGAAAATATTTTAAACGATTTTTAGCACGTTATAATCATTTCAGCTGCTAAAAGTAATATATTTGTATATTATTGAAACTATGATTAATTACAAAAAGTTTGATACTGGAAGGTCATGTTTTCGGTATCACACTTTAAAATAAAATTCGCTTCGTGCGTACTTTGGGTCATATACTACACTTAGTATGCATTATGCCAAGTTAAGTTTGAGACCAGTGGCGCATAAAATACATACCGAATTTCAAAGCTGCATGAAGAACTGAAAGCTGAATAAGTCAGAAGAAAAGACAGCATGCTCTTCATTAGATAATGTTGTATTTTGGGAGATTTTCAAGACTGGAGTGACAGAATAGGTACATTAGTTACTTTTTAATGCAAATTTGTATTGCACTTTGAACTGTTCGGGAAGAACGGCCACAGTTCAGCGAGTGTTCAGCAAGCCATAAATTTAAACCTTCTTCTTTAAGAGCTTTAAATGCATATTTATGATGATTTCATGAGCCTACGCTCCTGTCTTAAGGGTACCGTTATATCTTTTCTAATGTAACAAACCCATGTTACTTTGAAGTTATTGATTTTAGATTAATTCATAAACTAAGAGCTTTATTTTCTCTTATTTATTCATCTGCTCAATGAACAATAGTATTTGAGTTACTTGAAAATTATTTACTTGAATATTACTTACTTAAAAATGCCTAAGAATCCCATGATTCAAATCAACTGAGCACAGTCAGAAGTCATGCTTTTTCTTCCTTAGTCCAACGTCCCAACTGACTTGTGCTCGCTGCTTGAGAGCACACGTCGCTCTGCGGACGACTCCGAGTAGAGTTGTCCCCCGCCTTCGAACAAATAATCACTTTTCTCGGAATTGTTTCCTTGGAAACTGGAATTGATTTGGTTTTTCTTAATCTAGTCATGTGATAAAATGGGTATTGTGCTGTACTGTCGGGCCCTTTATTCTCTTCCAAGTGAGCAGTTTATTTTATTAATTTTTGTATAACAGAAACGTGTTTTGCTTTTGATTACAAATCAACGGCCGAAACCCATTTTAAAACGTACGTCAATTAGCGCGTTTTTTGAGAGAATATGTTAAACGTTCGTTTAAAATGTTACCCCAACGCGCCCTGAGTTCTAGAGGACAAGACTACCGCTTTTCCATGAAATCTCCCGTTTAATCCGGTCCTAATACTTAAAAAAGTTTAATTATCCCCGTTGCAGCCCAGTTTAATAACATAAACAATTTTAGAAACACTATTGCTACCTTCACATAGATACCGGGAAACAAACACTAAAAACCTAACCATCAAAACATAAAACCCCCAAAAAGCAAAGGACTAAAGGAAAATAAAAAGGAAAATCCTCGCTAGGCCCCCTTCCCCTCCTTGAATCCACCCCCCAGGGACAACTTTTCCAAGCCAAAGCCGGTCCTTAATTTTGTTTTCCTAGAAGTGTCTTATACCCAAAATAACACTTGTATCAATTTAATTTATGAAAGTTTTAACCATTCTTAAACTTATTACCCCGGAGCTTTTTCTTGCTACTGAATTTCTTCAGAATTTACGGCAACTAAATATTTATTTCCAACTCCATTTGTAAAATCAGGGGAGTCTTAACCCCCACACCGCCATGTTATTTTTGGCCTTTCGTTCTTGTACCTTTTCTAGTTCTCCTTTAGCTGTTTTTCTTGTTGTTTTTTTTTTTTTTTTTTTTGGGTTTCTGTTTACTTCTTGGATACTTTGCTTTTGGCACCTTTTCTTTTGGTTTTAAACTAATATTACTTTAATTCACAATACAAACAGATCACCCAACAAATTTGATATTTTTTTTTCTCAATATTAACCCAAAATCATTCAGAAATGTTAGCAATTTAAATAATCATTCTAAGCACAACATCAATGAGCAGTGGTTTCCCCCCGGTACATTCCTATTAAATCCTCTGTTGGTGGAACTTACAACTAATTTTTTTAACTTTCCTTTCGAGTTTTAATATTCCATTTTACACAGTCCTTTGTGAATTTTGGCATGAAAATCAATTTGAATTTTTGCTTATTCTATTTGATGGCTTAATTTTAGTTTTTTTACTGGTGTTTTTTTTTTTTATTTTGGGTTTTTCATTTCACATTTTTAGCTCAACACCTAATAAAAAGTTTCCCATGCTAGTATATTTTTTTTAAAATTATGCCTTGTGTTCTATTACTATCGTGCAAGCTATGGAAAACTCTGTCTATAACATCTACTTTTAATAAGTCACGGCTTTTAAGCACAATGACGAAATCCTGATTTCATGTGCTTTCCTACTTTGCATTTTGGCCTATTTTTCATTATTTTGGTACCGGTGTGTCTCTCGAGGCTCGCAACAAACACAATCCTTAGTTTAACGTCGTAGGTTGTTGATGTCCTGATTTCCGTGACGAATAACGAATTTGCTTGAAGCTTTTGAGAATAGCCTATCTAACTGAAACCAATTCTTTTGCATCTTAATTTTATAATCCTCTTTTTTTCACAGTAAGTGTTTTTATTATTAGTTAGAAGTAATCAAAACATTAATTTTCCGCAGCAGCACTCCAAATCAGGTTTTGGATGAAAATTTTATACCTTTCAACGCAATGTTGTACGAAAAGTAGCAGTGTAAAAAATGAAATATTCACGCGAAACGTATAAAAATTTAAGACACAAGTGCTATTAAATCTTTTCTTATATTTGAATCGTATACTGTATTGAACACACTGTATAATAATCTATTTCACAAAAACTGTAGCTTATAAGGAAGAATAAATAGCATTTTTGAGTTCAGAATGGGAGAGGAACTAACTTGAAAAGGCTGATTTTCAATTTAGCCGATTTAAAAATGTTAATTTTTAATAGTGGTGGTGTGGTGGTGTATTTAATTATGGCAAAGCACACTAAGGCTATCTGCCTAAGGGGAGGGATGCCTTTCGTGGAGGACTTTCTAAGGGAAACTGGCTCGTATACGCGTTACACATGGAGAAAACCACGAAAACGCCCATGCAGCCAGCCCGTTCGCGGGATTCGAACCTCGGACCGAACTACCAGTGTTCAGCGTCTTTACCGCTCGGCCGCTGGTGGGCCTAATTTTTAATAGTATATGTAATTAAACTTCCTGTAAATTTACGCTCAGTTTTATTGCTTACAAGTAAGGATTTCTATACTTCATTTCATTCAGTTTTTATTAATCGATTCAAATTGTAAATTCTATTATTCAAATTGCAAATGGTAATGCATTTCGATATGTTTTAATAAAAAATAAATAAACTTTTATTTTAATATATATACATACATATATACAAAATTACAATAAATATCGAACAAAGCACGAAACATAAAATTAAAACAATAATATGCTTTGTATTTGTTAAAAATAAAATGTTAATAATTCTTTTAGATGTAGCAAAAGCATTACTGATCTTTAAACACTAACATTTTTTAGCATTAACTTTTACACCATATTAATTGCCGTTTTTAAATATGAAAATTTGTGTTTAATTATATTATTGTTAAAAAATGTTTGTAATATTTACGGTATTTTGTAGATAAATTTGATTTTTCAGAATACTGAGTTTTCTATTAAAGTACCTAATTTTGCTTTCATGTCATTAAAAATAATAAAATATTTCAGCACCATTTATAGTATTTATCCCAAACTATTAAAAAATTATTACATATAAATTTACGTAAGAACAGCATTGCAGCAGTAATTTTATGATTGCAACAACAATCAGATCAAGCAATGAACTTTCAAAAACTACTATACAGTTGCTTTGGAAACATCTAATAACTGTTTTTTATAGTTCAAATGATAGTAATGAATAGAAAGTATCTCAAGTGGCACAAGCAGAACTAATAGCATGTAAAATTAAACTTTATCTAAGTGATAGGTACTATATGGAATGCAAGGCAAATTTCAAACTTACCATAAGCAGAACATAAAATTTGACTAGATTACACTTTTTAGTGCAATACATAAATCCTTTAAAATGCATAAATGTTTCCTTTAAAATACATAAATAATTGCATATACACTAACATTTAAATGAATAATTGGATAATTGTAATAGCAAAAGCATTTTTGACATTGAAGAGCATTTACTCAGTTTTTACATATTTACATTCAAGAGAGATTTTTTTCTTATAAAATCATCGCAATGAAGTTAGCAACCGCGTAAGCTGCAATACAACAAACTCAGTATTAGCCATAGTACTTTTTTCAATTACTTTTTTAATTTAATTTTATTTTTAAATTTTTCCAAACTTGAACATTTTTCAAGCGCCACAATCAATGATAATTCCATTATAATTCAATAATAATTTTCGAAAACTATAAAGAGACAATTCATTTACTGTTTTTATTTTATTTCTTAATAACAAATTCTTTTAAAAATTGGAAAGAGACTTTTCATTATTTCTTTTAATTAAAATGAAGAACAGATTTCAAACTAATCGGTCTTATTTCGCTTTTTTAATCCGAATATTGATATAAAACTATGTTTACTATAAAATAATAATTACTTGATGCACCATTAACTTTCGTATTATTTATCAAACGAAATATGAACAAGTTATCAAGAAAAGAATCTGACGCAGCGTGAAGTTTCCGCCTTCAATCTACTAATGTCACTCTTCTACCCTCATCATCTAACATTTAAAATAGACAAGAAGGTAATTGAAAACAACCCCAAAAGCGAAAAAATAAAAAGTTTAAGTCAGATCTCACTTTTTTATTACTTTCTCCAAACTTTACGAGAAAAACAGAAAAAAAATCTACTCACGATTCAATGATCCCTCGTCAATAATTCCATTTGGTTGCAGCAATGCATTTACACTTTCGCCAGCACATCAAAGGTTTGCGATGTTGCTACCTGCACTACACAAGCGTGCGAGTGTGATTTAGGAAGTTCAGCGGGCAAGTCTGCTAGTGTTATTGACCCCTAACGTTAACGGTCGTGGTTCCACCACCGTGCTTCGGCAGGCCCGCCGGCTACTTGCATGTAACTGGAGTTACATTAAAGAAATGCCAGTGTCTTCTTCCAGGTATGCTTCGCGCCTACTGAAAGGAACCAAGCGACGGGGGGGGGCAGAGCTTGCAAATTCATCCCTTTTTCAAAACATGTTACTGTGAGCGCCGCAAAGAAAAATTTTTGCCTTTGGTTTGCAAGTATAAGGAGTAGAGTATCTTATTAGAGTCTTGTTCTGCGTAAACTGTATTTCGTGTTTTATTTTATGCGGCAAAGTGAAAAAAATCGCTGCGAAATATATGACTGCATTGTTGTGTTTTGTGAGCGTGTCACCAGTTCAAACCTCCGAATAAAAAAACAATGAAATAATGGACCCATTTCTGTGTTTACATGGATTCTTCATAAAAGATTTTGATTTAATATGCTTTTCGAGGAGGAGAAGGGGTATCCAATATCCTTTCACATGATTTATTTTGCTTTAGTATTAAATTTAATATTAATATTTAATACTAATATTAATACTAATTTAATACTAATATTTTGCTTTAAGTCACAAAATATCTCAATTTCAATGTAATAAAGAAAATTTGTTTTATTCAAGGAAAAAATTTCTAGAATTTATCTACAAAGATCGCCCTTTTTGTAGTCAAATATTTTAAAATAGTTTTAAAATTGATAAGTTACCATAGACATGCATTTTAGGAACCAAATCCACCAAAAAAAATCTGTACTATCATATCTGTGTACCATGGTAGATACATAATTCTATGAGTGAAAT